GAGATGCTGACCCAGTTCCCTGGGGACTGTGGAAGATGTAACAGAGGATGTTCCAGGTCTTTGATAAGTTTTATTGTCTGTTTAATGCAGGCTATATTTGACTCTAAAAATTAACAAAGGTAAATACTTTAATGACTGTTGCCTGTGCTAATTAGAGAGATCTACTCTGACTATATAGGAAGCCAGTTGGTGCCAGTTGTAATTTTAGATGCAGCCTCTGAAAAGAACTAAGATTCCTAGTTACATGCTACAACTGCTTTATTAATTAGCAGCTACATGTTGGGCTCAATTAAGTGCATAACATGGGCTTACTGACTCTTATCATTAGACTGTCTGCTGCTTGTCTTAAGTAACCACTGCAAATCTAGTGCATCTGGATTTGAGCAAAACAGCAGAAGTGCGTTCTTTGCTGAATAGCAGCAGTCTCCAAATACAGCCTGGATGGATTTGGGGAGACAACTTGGGGTGTTTTATCTCCGGTATTCAGGACTCCTTGGAAATGAGCAGAACTGGTCGTACATGATAGTGGACTTTCTCATATTTTCTGCTTGTGGCTCTGCAAGAGAGACAAGGCTGTCATTTCCAGCACTTCTCAGCTTTGCAGGATCTCACTTGATATCACAGTATCCCAGCATTAGCTTTTGGTATGGGTAGTGCTGCTGAAGATGAAGTATTTTAAAGAAAATATTTTTTTGGTGGTGTGAATTTTGCTTTCCCTTTATTTTAAAGGCACACATGTTGTGGATATAAAAGCAATGGCAATTTATTAAGTTTCGCTCCGCATCTTGAAATTTGATCGAAGACTGCAAAAGACTTTTCACAGAAAAAACTCAACACATTTGTGTCTTCTAAAGTAGATTTATAATTATATCCATCTGTGTCCAAAAGTAAAGTAATCGAGCAGCATGGTAATAGGAAAAATATTTCATTGCTGGCAGGATACAACTTTTGAATTATTCCCTCAGGAAGAAAGGTTTTATAAATATATATTTGTTTCACTCCACTGGTCTTAAGTAAATCATACATTATGACTGAAAATGCATTTTTAGTAATATGCTTTAAGTTGAAGTACATTTTTATATGATTTAGAAATATATCAGTAATGTACAAAAATAATGCTACAGTATGTGTATATTTTCATAGGTGCTTATTATTTTTTTATGTTTTGAATGTCTTTAAAACTAAAGCATTGTTTTAAAAGTGTTTAAAAGCAGTTTAAGCCTGTAAATCAATTATTTGCTCTTTAGAAAAGTTATTATTTCCTCTCTATAATGTCTTAAACTTGTCTTATTTTACTAGCTATTTTTAGTGACTTTTACAAGTGAAAGAATACTCTGTGTGTAGCTTTTTTTTTTTTTTGAGTTTTGGTGGGGTTTTTTTGAGAAAATCTGAAATTCTGAAACTATGCTCTTAGACTGTAAGTTTTTGCATGTTACTTACCTATTCCTGGATGTCTCTAATGCTAGTTCAGTGAAATTATTTTGTGTAATTAAACACATAGTTGGTTCTGGGGTATGGCAGTGAAAGAATAGCATAAATGGGTTTTAAGAAGCAGCAATGACATGGGGTCATCAAGGAGAAATTATTATTAAATGTATAACTATAACAGAGTACTGAACTGTGGTTATCAAGACCCTAGTGTCAGTGCTGCTTATGTAAAATACTTTTTAAGCTCATTTGGGGATTTTGTTCCTTTATGTTTTAATTTGTATGTTCTATTCTATGTGTGTTTATGAATGTAGTATGAAAAACTAATGTTTTCCATTGTAAAACCCTTTTTACAATTGTAGATTCACCCAAAAGTTTGCATGGCAGTGATCTATTGCAGACTGAATTTTAAGGGAAATTTAAAAATTAAGTAATTTGTCAAGCATGTGGACTTTTTTCTCCCAGTTCATGAATTTTTACAGCTTTTAAAATACTCACCACGTTGTAGACCTGTTGCTCTTGGTCAAGATTTTTAATATGATAGCTACCTTTGTGCCTTTCCAGCATACCATCCATGCTTCGGCTCAGCAGAGCCACGTTTGCAGTGCAATTCCTGCTGTCAGCTTCTGAGAGCAGAGGGCGAAAGGACCGTGGCTGTGGCTGGTTGTGGTGGACATAACTGGTGGCTTGGAATTTACCAAAGTGCAGAACAGACAGGAGTGGGGAAAGGGACAGAAAGTTAAAAGTTTAGGTGTGGGGAGGAGCGGGTGGCAAGGATGTAGCTAAATATCAAGAGGAAGAAGCGATTAAAATACACAACCTAAAGAAAGGACACCAAGTCCAGAAGGAGACAGAAGATGGATGATGGCAACAAAATGGACAGGGAAGAAAGGCAGGAAAGAGTAGGTGGTTGATGAGGATGGGAAAATTATCAGATTGGCTAAGACAGAAGACATATGAGAGGATTTTGCTATGTCAGGAACTTGGTGGGGAAGGATGCTGGATACATGAATCAAGTGGTCATGGCTATGCAATAACCAGGAGGAAGAGCAGCGAGGAGACTAGGACCCAGAAGCTGAAGCTGGGGAAGGAAGAGAGAGCAGCGAGCAATGGGGACAAGAGCAGAAATGTTTTTGAGCACTTGGACACACATGTCTGCATGCTGGATTCCTGCCTGAACTTTTCTCTATTGCTGAGCAAATAGCTGTGAAACATGGAGGCAGTGCATTATGTTTTGCCTGTGGCAGGCCAGCTCGCACAGGAGAGAGTTGCTTTTTGGTGTTACTGTTGAGTCCATTACTGAAAATTGTAGAGCTCTGTGCCCCCAGACCCAGCTTACTGCCAGCACTTGGGGTGGCAGTCTGGTTCATGGATTTGTTGTTCTTGCTGCAGTTTCAAAGTCTGTAAATGTTCAAGGAACGATACTAAAAATTAAACTAAAAGATCTTTAATGTAAAGTTAAGCTCTCCAGAATTGCAGAACTTTAGTAGCTAATGCAACCTCAAACTGCCTCATGTGGTTATGCATATGATAATAATAAGCTGTTTAAAAATAAACTTGTGCATACGATCATGCAAACGGTAAGCTATTAAAGATTTTATGGATTATAAAAAATGATACAACTTGTGTTTCATAATCAGCATCTAAATATTTGTAGAAGAAGAGTCAAAAAAATAAACTTCATGCAAGTATATTTTTCTTTTTCTTCTTAGAAGCATGCTTTGTTTGGGTTTCGGTTGGATGCCTGTGTACTACTAAGCATAGTGATCTAACAGTAGTATTACAGAGATGTGTTTTATAAAATAAGATATTGAAGATATATTGCCTAAGGTGTACATAATAGATAAAATATGTTCTCTGAAAACATAGAGCAGATCAAGAGTGCAGAGGGTATCAGCAATAAGTATCTGACTTTAATGATAAAGTAGGTTTTTTACCCAGTGGCTTTTAAATGACCAGTAAAGTGTTTGTAGGAATGTTGTTAGCAAAGTGTGTGAAGTTTCTTAATGAAAACTAACTCTGTGACATAATAATTTAAAGACGGGAGAAAAAAAAAAAAAAACAACTTATGAATTAAAAAAGCAGTATTGTCAAACTGTTCCACTAACATATTTCAAATGACCAAGGTTCTCTGCCAATGTTAGGATGAAAAATGCCGGAAGTACAGGTATGGTTATGAACCTCAGTGAGAAGTGACTGTATTTGCTTCAGGATCTAAAACTAATCTCTGAAGTGATAGTTTATATGTTGGTTTGGTGCGGATTTTGTTTGTGTGTTTAAAGGCATTGTAAGATAAATGGCAGAATCATCTACTTTTTCTCAGATTGAAAACTATCTTTTGGCTATTTCAAATCAGGCTCTTATATACTACTGTTATTGAAAGAACATTAGAAAGAGTAGTTGTTCTGATTTCTAATGACACTATTACATTTTTGTTAATACACTGTGACAATGCCCAAAGGGATGAAATAATGCCAAGGTTCAGACTTCACAGGTATATTCTGTTTAAAACTAGTGCTACCACAGAAATCCTTCAGACTTCTTCCTACTGTATCACTCTTGCATTTACCCTTCTGTTGGATCTATTCTAGCCTGCATCATTCTCCTATGTCCCTCCCAATACCACCTGCAAAAGAAAATTGCGCTCTGAATTGCACTGCCTGATATTATTCCTCTTGCGATTCTTGCTTCGTCCTTTTCCTCCTTGGAGTGCATGGTTACATTAGTCCTCTATCACAGACAACTTTTTTGCTACCAACTCAGCCTTCTACAGCTGTAATACATTAAGTCAAACTGTGGTTTCTTTAGCTTTCCATAAATTCATACATACTCTCTGTGGTGTTATGCTCTGCTGCATTTCTCCAAGACCCTACCCACGGTTCCCCTCCTTGGCCTGATGGCTCATGGCTTCCAGACCACTGTAATTCGTGGGTTTATTCTTGAGGTACATAGCATACAAGTTTGTCACAGGCAGAATGAAAGATTGCAACCTCGTAGCTGCTGTTGGTACTATTTGCTGTATTTGTGTGGCTGTTTTCCCTGGTGCTCTATTACCCTTTACCAGCTTCTGTACCTCTCCATCTGTACGGTACCCCTCGTCACAGTATTGATCAACTACTTCACAGATTCTTTAGTGTGGTTGACTGTTCTGTCCTTAGCTATAGCTAAGTGCCTATTTCGTGGAGTATTCTCTCTCATATCATCATTAGCTTGTAGTCCTGTGTGTTTGTTATGAAGACCAGGGGAGGAGGAGGGCTGTGAATGTGATGCACTGGGGTCCATTGGAAGATGACTGGGGAAAACAAAAACCAGCTGGAGTGCACAACCAATTCTGAGGTGCTAATTGTAAAAAATCAGAGGTTCAAATAAATGCATTATTATGTGTTTTTGTTTTTATGTTATTAGGCTGTATTGTTTTCAATTTGATATAAGTTAATTTGAATCATAATACCAGTTTTATATTTGCTTCCTCAAACTATTGCACATTTAAATTCATGCATGCAGAAGTAATAATTCATACATCTTTCTCTGTTTGAGAGATTATACATTTCTTTCTATTCATATTCTTCCAGGTGACTTGGATTACTACTGGCTGGATCCTGCCACGTGGCACAGCAGGGAGACATCCCCTATTAGTTCGGTAAGAAATAGGAAAAAAGAGGTTCGTAAGTATGAATTAAAATGTTTGCTGATTATTTCAGTTCAGCATAGATATTTTGTAAAAAATTTTTCTATACATTTATATGAAAATTTCATTTAGTGGATCATAGAAATTGAAATAAAAAATAAATTTTCAACAAAATGCATACTAGTAAAATTGCCTGAATTTTAACTTGAATTTAATTCTTTTATAGAAGTGATACTAGATTTCACTACACACCACAATAGCAGCTGTGAATGTAATGCTTCTCTGGGAGAGATTAGTGACCTCTTTCTATTGACTTGGAGTAGGAAGGGATCATTTGGATTTTTATCATATAGTGAACCCATATGGTAGAGCTATATAACATTTATATTATTCTAAAGAACTGAATTTATGAATGCACTTTTCATGGTCATAGAATTTAAAAGTAAATTCTTTATTTTATTACCTAAGATATGTTTTAAATGTTTGATTGTATTGAACTTTGAATTGTGTTGTAATTCTACCTGAAGACTTTGCACTGAGATTTTTTTACAGTGGGCATAAATATTTAATGAAGCCAGAGTCCAACTGATACAGTAATAGAAAGCTTGGGTGCAATATGTAACACATCTGAAGGATGTTTGTATCTACTGTGACATAATGACCCAAAGATTTTATTAGTTTATAAATGTACGTCTAAATAGGGGAAGATGGTTGCACTTCTTTAATTCCACTGCTTGTTTTTTTAACAGCATCCCGTAACGTGGCAGCCTTCTAAGGAGGGAGATCGCTTAATAGGGCGTGTTATTCTTAACAAGAGAACAACCATGCCAAAAGAGTCAGGTGCATTATTGGGGCTAAAAGTAAGTATTACATGATTTATGTGGTAAATGAAAGAAACTTCCACTGACCTTAGATCTAGAGGTCTAACACATTAAATCAGAGAACTCTCCAATGATACAGTAATTTGACAAAAATATATTCCTCATTTTTAGTAAGTTTTGAAAATTGTACAGGTAAATTATGAATGTAAATGTATTTAATTCTTCTGTGCAGTCTTCCACTCATCCATGGCAAAGGAGCTGAACCATTTTGATTAAAAGTGTATGTTTATTCAGCTTGCTGTCTGCAAGACATATACTGCGCATTGCAAAGCACTAATGGAATCCTGCCTTTTCTAGCTCTATTGTTTGCATTTCAGTCAAGCAATTCATCTCATAATCCACATAGATAAACGTCATCCAGATGCAAATATTTATAAGGTCAGTGTTTAAAATCCACACAGCCATTTGGAAGCAGAAATTTTGTAGAAGGAAACAAAACATTTACACAAAAAATTTGCAAAAAACCCTCTCAAAGAGTAGCAGAGATTATATTAAATGTAATTCCAGTCATTCTGGTGCCCCAAAATTAAGAAATTGGCAACACTGTCCAGTTGATTTAAATCCCTAAATTAGTTGCAGACTTTTAGGTTCATGTCCCTAAATTGCCAGAACACTTAAAAGAGAGAGAGTGCTACTTCTGAAGCTGGTGGGGAATACAGTGTGCCAGTTCAAGAATTTCTCTCTCCATATATATTTTTAACTATATGGAGCTCCAAAGATGACTGAGAGAATTTAATTTAGGTGTCTGCCTCTCCCCACTGAAAACAACAGAAACAATGCAAAATATGAACCATTCCCATCCACTTAGAACTGAGTACTTCAAAGGACACTGATACTGAACGGCTCCTTGCATATCATTGTCTGATAGTTCAGTCCCTTGTTTATGATGGAGATGTGGGTTGTCGGTTCTGCGTGTCACGGTGGGAATTAAATCAGGAAAGAACCTTGTGAACTTGGTAATGACAAGTCCTGGGTAAGAGCCATTTATCCACCTTGAAGTGAGACAGTGTGGCGTGGAAATACAGAAGATGACAACAGCTTCACTCTGCTAAATGTCTAGTAGTCTGTAGCACAAGACTGAATTTTTGCTGACAGCAAGCAATTTTTTTTTTTTTAATATAAGAGAAAAAAGGTTGGCCCTAGTAGGAAATGGAGATTGGAGAACTTCAATTTTTCAAGTTTCAGTTTTGTATGATATGAGCTAAGGCCCCCACCAACAAATTTAACACATTGTCTCATGACAACCTTGTTGGCAGGTAGGCTTCAGGATCTTCTTGGATATATATTTCTATAAAAGCTCCTAGTAGTTATTGCGATTGCAACATGGGGAAATAATACCTAATGAACCAGTCTTCCACTGTTTCGTTTTATTATAAAACTCCTCCCAGCTATTCCTGACAAAAAAATATAAACTGACTGTAGAGAGTAAGATAGCTAAAGAGAATAGCAAGTCAGAAAGACTACATTTTATTGGTTTATACTTTAGTACAAACCTAATCTCTTGAGGGCACCTTTTTTTTTTTTCCAATTTTCCTGATCATGAAGTCATCTTCAAAAATAACTCTCTTCAGTTTTGTTTAACAAAAGCTAGAAGTTGCTTTTTTGTCCTGTCATGTGCTTGGATGAGAGGGCCTGGGTTATAGCACCAGCAACACTCTTCTGAACTGGATGCCCATGTTTTATAGTAGTGTATTTGATAAGCTTTTAGTTATCATAATTATCATATGTTTGATTTTATGCATACTTGCAATTTAAACTTAAGCACATGACAGATACCTATTTGCAAAAAGTGTATTTTCTTTCTGCAACAAATGTAGACACTTAGCAAACTGCATAAGATTGATTAGTCAAACAGATTAAAACGAATATCAATTTTATTCATTCTGTGTCAGCTTTACTTCTTTTCAAGTAGATCTGGCCATTTTGTCTTTAGGCCTCTGTAAAGGCAATAAAGGCAAGTTGACAATAGACTTGCTTATGCATATTTTAGATTTATTTCTAAAAATAATGTGGAAACTGATCTGTCTATATATTTATGTTTGATATGATGTCTGGTTTGTGGTTTGGAAGTTCACAAATTTATGATTAACCAGGTTGTTGGAGGAAAAATGACAGAATTAGGACGACTCGGTGCCTTTATTACCAAAGTGAAGAAAGGTAGCTTGGCTGATGTGGTGGGGCATCTCAGAGCAGGTAAATCAATCGGTTGCATATAAAATATATTGTCTTTTAATTACGGCTTTTTATAATGCAGCTGTTCATTTCTATTAACTTTGGTCATGTAATGTGCTGGTATTTTTTAAGTACAAGACAATACTGTAATGTTATTATGGCATGACACAGTTGCCTCACGTTTCTAATTATTAACTCCAATTGCTTGGATGCATGAGCGAAACTACAATACAATCGTGATCAGTGCTGGTGTCAGGACTCGGTGTCACTGGTCAACTTTTCCTTGTTAGTTTAGGAGCTGCTTGTTACACTCCATAGAAGCAATACAAACATTTTTTAAAACTGTTTCATTGTTGCAAACAAAACTCACTACAGTTACTTTACTTGCACTATAGTGTCATCTGAAGGATGATACACTGTGTCCACAATAGACTTATTAGTGCTTTTTCAATGTGAATTGTTACAAATGAAAATGGAAAACAACCCAAGAAAATAATCTTAAAATATTTCATTTATATAAGATGAATATATTGCAGTAAGAAATAAGTGGCTGTGCTGTTGGCACTTTTCAAGCTTCTAAATGAAGCGAGAACTATGCACAGCAGTTGGTTTTCAAAGTTACTTCTTAGTGGTTTATATTTTTACTGTGGCTCTAAGCAACTATTTTCCAAGTGTTGTTTTAGCAAACCAAAGTCTATGCAATGCCTTCTTAGGAATCTAGAAGCTCTGATGACAACTTGTATGAATTTGGGACATTTGTGTGAAGGAAATAATAAAGAAGTAGGAAAGATGATGAGTCTCTAAAAATATCCTACTTTGTTTTGGCAGTTGTTATTTTGTTTTTTACCAAGTTAATATACATGGGGTTGATAGCACCAATTGTTATAGTTCTTTGTAGATTTTAACTGCCAATTATAATTACAAAAAATAAGGTTCTCTCCAGTAATCTTGAACTATTTGGGCTGAAATATTACATTTCTAATGTCTGGTCTAGGCTGTTTTTAAGTCAAAGCTATTTTTACTTCCTAAAAATAATTCAGAGCCAAAATAATTTTACAGAAAAAAAACATTGTTTTGCACATGTTTTCAATTAATGAAAGTCTATTCATCCTATTACATGGGACTAAAACTCAAGAAAAGACATGGATGAGTCCTTGCTGTTAAGGAAACACGCTTATTCATCTTTAAGAAAAACCTCCAAAATTTGTCTGGTTGATACATCTTTGAGTAATTGTACAAACCTTATAAATTTTAACAAAGGCAAATATAAAGTCTTGCATCAGGAACAGAATAACCCAGCGCAACAGTAAGCACTAGGAGCAAATCAGCTAGAACACAGCTTGGCAAAAAAGTGTCTGGAGGTGCTGGAGGATGGTGAATTGAATATGAGTCAGCAAAGAGCTGTTGCAGCAAACACCAGTCATGTACAGGGCTGTATTAGCAGGATTGTCACCAGCAGATTGAGAGAGGTGGTTGCTGCTCTTAATTCAGTGCTTATGAGGCTGTACCTGGAGTACTGTGCTCAGTCTGGATTCCTCTAGCACAAGAGAAATAATGACACACTGGACCAGGTTGGGCAGAGGGACAGAAAATTGATTAAGGGTCTGAAGCATATGGCATATGAGAAGCTGAGAGAACTGGGTTTGCTCAGACCGGCAAATTAAAGACTATGGGAAGTTTAATTCTTGTTTTTACCTGGATAATGGGTATCTGTAGAGAACCCAGCGCCAGGCTCTTTCTCAGAGGTACACACTGATCACACAAGAAACAATGTGCACAAACTGGAATGAGGGAGATCCTGATTGTGAAAAACTTTTTTCTTGCATCTAGAGAGGATAGTTAAGGCTTGGAAGAGGTTGCCAAAATGAGATATTGCATACCCTTCCTTTGAGATACACAAATCTCATCTGGTCAAATCCCTGAGCAACCTGGTCTACCAGTTGATGTTGGCCGTATTTTGAGCAGGGGTTGGAACTAGCTGACCCCCAATCTGATTGGTATCTCCCAATCTGAATTTCTATTTTAGAAATCAATATAAAGAAGGTCAGAGATTTGCAGCATAAATCTGAAAACTTTCTGTCTCTGCTGAACATGCACCAGTAAATGGAGGTGGAATGCAAGATGCGCTAATATTCCTTTTTAGAGGCATCTTAGATGTCCTGGGATATAAGCCTCACCATAAGAAGTGGCTCCATAAGGGTGCAGGTGTCCTGTAGGTTCTGCCAGACAGCTTTGCGCAGATATCTTGGTTATCCGAAACATTTACGATGTGAGGTCTCTAACAGCCCTTTGACTGCCTGACTTGCAACTCTGGGCTACTACGCTGGGTCGTAAGACCGGGGAATTAATCTCACCTGAATTTGTAGCAGTGTATCACAGGATCATAGAATGGTTGAGGTGGGTAGGGACTTCTTGAGATCTCTAGTCCAACCCCACTGCTTAAGCAAGGTCAGCTAAAGCAGATTGCAGAGGACCATGTCCAGTTGGGTTTTGCATATGTCCAAGTTTTGAGTATCTGGGTGGTGTTTTTCCATTTCCATGCCTGTTGCTGAGAGCAGAAATCAGAATGTGAGCCTTATAGACAGCATCTTAGATGGAAGAGACAATGTAAAAGGGCTTAGCTGGTCAAAAAGGTCAGGAACTGGACACGCTGAGCAGAAGATGGATGGTGGTTATCTGATTAGAACTATCAGTAGTGTATTTTCAATCAAATCTCCATTTGAATCTAGTTTTCATTAAGAGTAATTGGAACCATTTCTGTGAACTTTGCATTCTGACTATGATGATCTTATGTTTAATCATCTTGGCAATTTTTTCCACTTGTGTATTCTCTTAGTAACTCTCAAAAGTAAAAAAAAAGCTTCTTAAGTTCTCAAAAATAGCGATACAGACACCTTACATGTTCCTCTTTAGGATTCTCAACCATGTTACACCTATTTTGTCTTCTTCAAAATGTGATGGATTCATGGCCATGTAAATTAAGTTTAAATCAGGATTTTTAATGTTAGAAATTTAGCATATGTCCCTGTCTGGTTTTGTCATTAAGTTGTAACTATTGTGAATCTGGCCACATCTTGTTCCTTTTAATGCCCGGGATGCTTTTGTAAATTAAGCCAATTCTCTCTAAAGAAATCAGATTTTACTTTAGAGAAAGACAACATGTTAGTTTATAACAGTTGTTAGCTTTAAAATACAGACAGAATTGCAGAAAAAACTTAATGTGTTTTCACTGAGTTGTATAAATTTTAGATTAAGTTCCTAGGAAATATCTAATTCCTATTCCCTCCAACATTATATAATAAATATGCAAAATATGTAAACCTGCTTCAGCAAAACAATATGGTAGAAAATTAAACTTAGGTTAGCAAGCATTTATTAAGTCTGTCATTAACAAGACCTCATGTTTTAAAGAGTGCCAGAATGCTTGAAAGCCAGTAGAATACTCTGTGGAATCCTTTCGTAAAATACCAAAATATAGGCTGTTTGGGAAAAAGGCCTGGCAATTGTTGAACATAAAGAGAAATTGAAGCCATGTGTTTTGGTAGATATGACTTCAGTTAGGATAGTTGTCCTTGGCTTGTTAATAAGCACAAGTTTGATCATTTGGCTTAGATCTCCTCAGGAAGGAGCAAAACCAGCAGCTAGTTGTTCCTGACTGAATCTGATAAACATAAAAGCATGGTCAATGAAGAAAGTTATTTTTGGAATCAGATTGAGACTGTGAAGTTTTGACTACTGTGTGTAACGGGGTATAATTGTGTAAACTTACCCTATGGTTCTTGCAGTTTACTTGTATATACTGACCTTTCTTTAAAAGCTATTCTTTGAGATTTTCACCTTTCTCTAAAGCCAAAATACAATGTAATGTGCATACTATTTAAATTCCAGAAATGGCAAGCCGAAAAAAGAAAGTTATCTAAATAACTTTCACATGATGTTTTCCTTTCTGTCTCCTCTAACATCCTCAGGAGGTAGTGACTCACTCCTTGTTTTTATTTTTGGTTCATTTAACACAGACAGTGAAGACTACCCTTTTTGTAGAGAAATCAAAATACACAGTATATAAATTGTAATAAAATGTCATGATTTTTGAAGGCTTAAGGGTAGGTATGTATATTTTTAATTTTTGAAGATTAACTTGCTTTCAAAGTTAATTACCGCTAATTAATAAAGGATCTTTTTAAAAGACTCCTTCATTTCATATTTCATACCATAATAACAGGTTCTGTATTATTTTGGAAATGCTTAATATGTTTGCACAAGTGGTTTCTTTAATATGTTTTGTGTGTACAAATTGTAGTTGTGTTCTGAGAGAGGAGCCTTGATAGTGTTCTCAGAAACCTTTTTTGTGTTTCAGCACAGATTTTTAATTAATTTCAGGCAATGTTACTTGGTTATGTAGATTTCATAAATGTTTTACACTTCTTTATGAAAGGATGTGGAAATGAGATAAACTTCTCTTTAAATTCAAGGGGATGAAGTCCTAGAATGGAATGGTAAACCCTTGCCTGGAGCTACAAATGAAGAAGTTTACAACATTATTTTAGAATCAAAATCAGAACCTCAAGTTGAAATTATTGTTTCAAGGCCTATTGGGTAAGGCTAAAGACTTGCTTCTTAAGTGCAATTATTACTTCTACTAATGGGACTTTTAAAGGGACTATTTGTGAGTTCATTATTTTTTATCTCTTAATAATGGAATATGATTCACTTTCTATTATTGATATTTTGTATATTCCATTTTATTCACTGCAATTTTCAGTCTTGGATCTCTGCAGTGATATATATAAGTATAAATAAATGTTGTTTTTTGTATGGTCAAAGTCCTAACAAGGTTTATGCCAAGTGGCAAAGGAAAATGGGTGGATCAAGCGAACCTGTGCATGAGAAAAATCTGTTTTTCAGACTTTTAGCTTCACTAAATCAGAATACCTTATATGGGTATTTGTGAGTAGAAGGGAGCATCAGCAAACATTGAGCATTGCAGGATTTTAATAAGTCAGTGCTAGTAGAATTTTAAACAGACCTCCTTTAAAGAGCTAAAAAAAGGAAAACCAGAACTCTTAATTGAAAAAAACTGTATTTAGCCTTAAACGATACTGTCATCAAGATCAAAAGTGGAAACAAAAAGTTTCATCAGAAAGTAGCATTAACACGTTATGTTTGTAATCTTAATTTTTATTTGTTAGAAATCCAGGTTTGGGGTTTTGTGATAACAATTACATTCTCGATTTCCCAGATAAGCCTTAGAAAGATCATAAAATCTGTTTGAATTGATAAGATTAGTGGGGTTGGCCCTGCATTTGTCACAATTGCTTTAGTGATGTTCTGCACTCCTTCCCCGAACATGACTCTGTTGGGACTGGTTTGAGCTAAGTGTTACAGGATTTAATATGAATCATATATTGTAAATTCATATTTATATAGCGGAACAGAGGCACATGATTAACAACAAAAAGTGATTCTTGGCTAGTTTAAAAAAAAAAAAAATTAAAAGGATTTAAATCTCTCCGTAGCTTGTCACCTTCCCAGATTTCATGTGTACTCTCTGTAAGTCTCTAAATACCACTATCCTGTAGGTAGATGGTAAGCTGTTTCCTCCTTGTGAACTCATTATTATTTCATTTTGAATTTGCTATTTTTCAACCTAATTATAATTTTTATTTGTCTCAAATATGCTAAGTTTTCCATTTTAGAAACAAAAAACTATTAATTTTCTTTCTGACTAAGGCATTATTTTACATTTATTTCAACATCAGCTTTTGATTTTTGGTTTTGTCTATACCATACAGGTGTAACTATATTTTGCAAATAAGTTCTGCCTTTTTAATGGCAATCACTATTAAAAGTATTTAAGTAAAATTAACATTCGTTGCTAATTCCAGTTATGAGTTTGACCTTCTAATTAAAAACGAAAGCTTGATGCAATAATAGTGGTTGTTAAAGGCTAAAATTACCATCCAGATGGAGACTGTGGGAGAGTAGAAACCTTGTTTTACATTCTTTAGTCAGATAAATTAGGAGGTATTCCTGACTAAAAATTGCAAATTTAGTCTTTCATCTTTGTAATTAAAAATAAAATGCCATGAGGAGATTTCGGAAGTCTAGTTTTTATGTTTAAATCAGCAGAAATGAAATATGTTGATACTGAACCTGACTCAAACTCTGTCTCAATTGAAGAAAATCTGAAAATTGATTTGTACAACTGATGTGAAAGGAAAGTGCAAGATTAGTATTTTAAATAATGAGCTTTAGTTATATTTATTGTTATCAGTATATTTGCAAATGTTGTGTATCCTTAAACTTTTAAGATAACTTCATTATTAAACCAATTGACTTATTTTAGTTTACGAATTTGATAAATCTGATAGCTTCAAAAAATGAAGTACAAGCTGACTACATACCAGTGACATATTCTTGAAGAAAAATCAAGAGAAAATACCACAACTGTTGAACTGAAGCATAGAACATGAAGTACATTCAAAATCAAAGAATTTTTCTGAATCTGAGCAGTGAATTTTACACTAAAAATTGCACCCAGAAATAGTACCAATAAAATGTAAAGTTTTACTTTGGATGACACATCCGTATTTTTTCCAGACATAGGCAGAAATAGAGCACATCAGATTGTGCTTTTATTTTGAGATAAATGGAGACTTGGCATGGAGGTGTTTACATACTATAATAACACTGTTGTTGTAGAGTTGTGTCTTCATTGATTTTTTTGTTTTGTTTGTTTGTTTGAGGACTGGGTTGGGTTTTTTTGAGAAGAACAAATATCTCAAAGTCACTAGAGCATATAACTTTGAAATTTAAAGATATTTTCTTTTTCTAGCAGTAATAAGTCATGGTGTTGTTGTTTTATATCAGATAGAGATTCACCTGTTTGCCATTTTAAAAGAACAAAAAAAAAATCAGACATTGTACAATGAAGGAAATCCTGATACTAGTTAACAAAAAAGAGCATACTACACAGGATTTTCTTTTTCTCTTTTATTATTTTTTTTAATTAATTATGATCTATGTTAATTCTGTTATATGATGGGAATTGGTTTGCTTGCATTAACAGATTACTTTTCCTCCTAGCTTCTCCTTGTCTTATTATTCAACTGTGTGATTGTTTCAAATTCATGATAGGGAGTTTTATTTAATCCAACAAATCTAGTATATCAAAGTTTTGTGTCTACTGTAGTTGCTGACTCAGCAAAATTAAAGCTGCTTGATACAGCATTAAGTAGTAATCCATTACACCTAAAATTCCTGTGAGGAAATAGGTTCCCGAAAGACCTGAAAAATATTATTTCTTCTGCATAATTAAAGTGTTTTCCTCTCTCAGTATTAATAATGCAGATAATGTACCAGCACTTTTAATGGTCTTGATTTAAAAAGTCCTAGCATATTTGGTCTAAAAAGCCCAAATATGACACATTTTGCCTTAAGTGAATAATGGGAAGACTGTAAGCCCACAAATTAGACTGCCCACAAGTTAGACTGCCAGTTATAAAATTGATGTCTAAACAATTTGTTCAGTCTTGTAAATTTGGATTTCTGTGTCTACCAGCAGATGTAATTTTGCGTAATGGATAATTGTAGGATGTTTATTAGAGAAAAATGTGAAATGTAACACTATTAGCAGATGTAAGCATATCAACAATAAACAGTATAACCACAATAGTACCATGAAAATGCCATAGAAGCTAATTGACGCTAATGCTAATGGTTGCAACACAAGGTAGATAAGAAACCTATAAAAAGTAAAATTGATGGGTTAGCTGTCTAAATGTGAGGCGAAGAATTACCTATGAATATGCATACAACGTGAGAGGTGGTTAACATAGGGCAGCATAGAAAATCCTCTGGCAGTATGCTTTTTGGAGAAGAAACCTGACATCGTAACTAACTCACCGTCTCTTGTGTGCTCTGGTGAGCTCTGTGGCATAGTACAGGTAAAACAAATGTTTTTAAATTTGTCTGTTGTTTTCTTTGTCAGATGCTAGCTATCTTTGCTTGGATTTCCACAGATAATATTGCCAAAATTGTTGTTTCTCCGATGTGATTCAGCTCCTCTGTGCAGGGACTGCTACTGTGCTCTAGATCCTCACAAGGAGGTTGAACCTCCATCATAAACCAGGCAGTACTGAATTCCAGAGAGTTGCTCAACTAATGTAATTAGTGCAAACTGCAGATTGATCTACAGGTTCTAATGGCAAGGAATGGTTTTGGAAATAAGAGGATGAGCATCGGAACCAGGTACTCAGAAACTGAAAACTCTGTAGGGTGTAGAGATGATGCTTCTGTCCCTAAAGCAATTTTAAAAAGTGTGAGTTACAACCAGATTTGAATTTGGTTTGTCCTCAGTGATCAAGCTCTTGACTATAGCCTTTGGAGAAGTTATAGCTGTTCTTGTGTTTTACAAAATAGTGATCCTCACAAGACATGTATCTGCACAGAGTAGTCTTAACCTAAGGCATAGTTTAGTTTAACTTATGAATTCATTGAGGTGTGGAAGGTTCAGACATAAGATAATCGTATGTAACATCACAACACAAAATACCTTTGCCTTCTAAGGTAGAAAGACAAAGTTCAACGTCTGCAGCTCTTTACTGAGTGTGTGTCTGACATTACTTCTCTGACATATGTATTACTCCCAATAGGGGAGTAAAATTTTGTTACTATTTTAAATAAGTGGTTGTGCAACTTCTTTGTTTCTGACATTTCCTTTGATTAGTTTAGATTTTAATATTTTAAGTCATGAACTACTATTTCTTCTGAAGTGTTTGTTTTTTTTTTTTTTAAATCATAATGTGAGAATATTTTCTGCAATCCAGAAATAAAAGCAGGCTAGATAAGACTGATTTTCTTCCATAACAAGTTTTAGATTATAGTTTCTTTGTAGAATTATCCTTCTTTAATGGAAAGGCCAACTTTTTATAAAATTACCACTTACACATTTGATAAAGGCTAGTACACCAGTTATTTTACTTGTCTGCATGTGGTATTTAAGAAGTGATTATGTAAACTGGATTATTGAGTTTATAAGAAATTCACATATAGGCAGAAGCATAGCTTTAAATTCATTCATGTACATTTTAAAATCACTAGCAGAAAGCAGAAATATTACAGAGCTTGTTAGAATGCTCTGCCACAAGTTTTGTGATCAATACTATATTGCATACTTAATTGTTTATTTCTTTTATTTTTGTGTCTTGCAGTTCAGTGTGGAGCTGTACTTAAACAAGATAAATACATTAGGGAAGAGATTTCCTAGCAATAGTTTTTATACATATACGCACATATGTATACATACACACACACGTGCTTTTTATATATATATATATATGTAAATATATATATATAATGTATCTAAATAATACATGTTTTGTATATATAAATTTTATTTATTTATTTTTTAAGTTGACCATTATGTTATAGAATTTTAGAAATTTCAAATAACATTTCTGTTGCAAACCATGCATTTTGTCTGGAGTTGAAATTTATTTCTACCTGTTCCTGTCAGCTTTTCATAAGAATTACAAGGAGTTCAGAAAAATACATTTAAAAAATTGTACTTTTAGTTCTTCTTTTGAGTAAAGTCTGAAGAAGGACCTGATTATTTTTGTCATCTACCTTTAACCGGTGTATCACCAGCTCTAAGTGAGGGAAATACTCTCAACTTGACCATTTTTTTTCATGATGTGGCATCTTCATTCCAGTATCTGTTTTTTCCTCTTGTAAACTGTGTGGATCTAATTCTCATGGTGATTTATTATTAGACCTTTCTGTGTTGATCTAATAGTGTGAAGGTGCTTAGTGTAAGTATGAATCTATTGTTAAGTTCTTCTATATGTAATTAATATTTGAGGCTTAGTTTTAGACTTTTTTTTTTCCTCCTGTATTGTTGTCAATACAGAAAAAAATCCAAACAAAATTCATTTTATCATCTTTCTTCACCCACCCAGGGATTATGAAACTTGACACTGTAGTCTGCACTTTCCATCTTGAAACATTCTTTGCACATATTGCCCTTCATTCAGATATCCTAAACATGATGTTATTATGAACAGTGCTGTACTGCAGATGAGAGTGTTTGTATTCTAGCACAAGAAAACATTACAAACTTAATATTATATTGAACAGAAAATTCAGTTTGAATATGGTAAGGAAATATTACAGACTGCTGTGAATTGCCGTGGAAATTTTGCCCTGGAAAGAGATAAAATGTTAAGAGGAGGAAGTCTGTACAGCAGGTCTGCTGTGCAGCAGGTTGTGAATCTTTTCGTGTCTGTAAAGTTGTACTATGCCATGTCAAGAATGGCAGTTGTATTTCCATGAGTTTGAGAAAACCACATCACTCGAATTACAAAGTCAAGGCAAAGAGAAACACATTCTTGTTCAGTGATGTGAGATGTAAGCTGATGTGAGACATTAACTTGGAGCTGAAATGGGCTTTTTTTAAAACACAGGCACCAGAAATTTAAATTGCAGGACATGAAGAACAAATTTCAGACTCATTGATTGGGTACTGTTACATTCTTTTTCTGACTTAAGTGTCTGTTTCTTTTTCATAAGTGTCTTTTATGTACCTAGAAGTCTTAGTTTTATTAACTTCCAAGACAGTAAGATAGTGTTTCACGGAACACAGAAATGCCTGAATACCTCTGAAATGCTCAGCTTTAGACTTAAAATCTTGTAAATGTTCTTCAGAAATGTTATTTCAATTCCAATTTTGGATTATTCTGTGTAGATGAAAGTATTTTCAAGTAATTCACTGTAGAGCTTTCTTTCCATTTTCCTGCTCTGCTGCTTTGCTAACATTTGTACAGTAACAGTCATTTCTTGCTCTTGAAATGTATTTTCAATGATCGCTGAGAACAGAAGAGAGCCAGGAGTTAGCATCATCCAGATTTTGATGGAAGAGTAAATTTGTTAACGGCAAAATTTTGATAGATGTGTGTGGACTTAACTAGTTTGATTTTGCTTATACTTGTATATGTGCTGGGGGGGGTGTGTGTCGAAAAATGTCCAAACTCAATCATAATATGGTTTGATTTTTTTTTAGCCTTTGAAGAAATGCCTTATTCTTCTGTTTGTTTAATATTGGTAATGTTATTTGTGTTTTCTTTTTCTTTGCTTAACATTGCTAATGTATTTGCTTTTTCTTTTTATTATTATAAGACATTTTCATCAGTTCCATTCCGTGAACTCCTTGAGACGTTTATATAAAAATTACTAGTGAGTTAATATAAGTCTTATTTTTTGGATTTTTTTCCTCCAAAAAATAGTTGAACATCCGTAGCTATACTACCTTTTGCCATCTTTCTCATCCTAAAAGCTCTCTAACTTTATTGTTCTGGTTGTAAAAATATTGTGGAATCCATCCACAATATTAACATTGTAGTGCTCATATTGTTATGTCTGCTAGTTCCTTGACTTGAAAGAAGTAGTTTGCATTAGTAAGATTTTCATGAACGCTAGTGAAAAATATGTCTTTAAATATTTCCCCTTTCTTTCCTTGTAGCCTATTAGAACAGACACAGATACATATTTCTAAAAAAGTGTTCAAACGTATTTGTCACAGCAAAAGATCATCTCCATTGTTTCTAATTATTATGTGTATATTCATGTTTTAGTGATATTCCACGGATTCCTGAGACTTCTCACCCTCCGTTAGAGTCTAGTGAGTACATACCTCATTCCTTTCACTAAGCATGGTCTTGTACCCAGCACAATAATTTCGGCTATGAATTTTCTAAAAGATTGTCACTGGGAGTCTGCATTAGCTCCAAGGTTTTTGTTTGACAAGTTCAGTGGGTTTTGGTCTTGTGTATTAAATTTGAAACAATATAACTTTGATTTAATGCTATACAGATTTCAAACGTTAGCAGGATTTTATTGCTTTCTTCTGTATCTTGTGTTGTTGGTACCAATACACACTGTGGTCCAAACCAGTAATTTACTTGCCCTAATAAGAGAGAAAGTAAGGGATAACCAAAGGTACAAATGGTGTCAGGATTTCACCTCCTGCACCATCCAGCATAAGTCCGCAGTTCTTGTTTCTCTTTTTCATAACAAGAAAACATTGGTTAGGTGAACTTTTTCTGTATCATGCTTCAGAAGAATGGTTTTCTTTTAACTATCCCATTTGAACAGTGTTAGCTAGAGCGTGTGAGGGCCATGGCTCCCAATCCCAATCTCTTTCTCATCTGAGCCTCGTCTGAGATGTAACCAGAAACCTTCCCTGTGACGGGGTCCTGTGGGGCCACCGAATACTGTTACACTTGTCGTGACCTCATCCCATTAGTGAGGGCTCTGCTTTGTTGGTGGAGAACTGCTGACGTCCAGCAGGCACCAGAGCATCCTCCATGCCAGATGCATGTCCTGCATACCTTCCTGTGTGCCAATTCCTTGGGAGTTAAAATTTCAGAGGCTACCAAGAGTATAATCCATACAACAGGTGCGGGTTTATTCATCAAAGATTTGAGATCGTAGAGTCATAGAATAGTTTGGGGTGAAAGGGAGATGTGTAATTTTGTCAGAGGATAATATTTTCAAACACTTGGTATGGTTTGTCACTGCTATATGAGGAGCACTTTTTTATATATAATTTCAAATAAAACAAAAAATGGCAGGTTTAATCTGAGGTGAGGGTATGCAGACCATCTTTTTCACCATTCTGTCTTTATCAGTTTAAAATCTTTCTGAATCTTTATTTACGCAGTTATACTGTGTATAAATAGAAACTTTGTACAATTCAAAGGAAAAAGCAATTCATAAGTTATCCAATTTTGCTTCAGAATTTTGGATGGAAAGTTCACGTGGTTCTCATGTATTTTTAGGTTCAAGTTCTTTTGAATCTCAGAAGATGGAAAGGCCTTCTATTTCTGTTATATCTCCGACCAGCCCTGGAGCCCTACGGGATGCACCACAAGTCCTACCAGGGCAGCTTTCTGTGAGCATATTTTGTTTTTCCTGAGTTGTTAATGAAAATCTATGAAATGGTGATCCCTCAGCCCTCCACATTTCCTAAGGTCTGTTAGGAGGTCAAGAGAAATGTCTGTTGTTGGTGAAGATTCATCTTTCAGATGTTTCTTAAGACCCTCTGAACACACTCACAGACCATCACTGTAATCACAGTAGAGGTAAAGAATTGTGATCTTAATACACCAAAGAACTCAGGAATTAATGTTGAGAGGAGCTCATAAAAGTACCTTGTAACTTGTCATCCTGTTCCCGCTGCATTGAATATAGTGACTCTTCTGTGCATGCCCAGTAATGCAGAGGTAACAAGCATAGTATCACTTTGTCTTCTTTATGGGAGCATTTGAAGAGCTGTGTATTTGTTAAGAGTTACACTGTTCAGTAATGCATTTTAATTTCGATACTACATCCTGGAACTGTCTGTAATACTAATTGAATCTGTGTCTATTAACTATACTGTGAATACATTTTTATATTTATATATTGATCATATTAATTTCTAAGTATAGAGCAGGCTCAAAAATTTCATAATGTTAGGATTCTCTTAAAAATTATTTAGCTGTATATTATACTTTTCATAAGAACATTTGCAAAGTGACAAATCAGACTAGATAGATTTCAACTGTGCCTTCAGTTTAGCTGCAGTCAGGGTTTCCTGTTTGAATGTATCTTTTAAGGTGCAGAGCTAAGATGCTGGTTTAATTGCACTCATAGATACAAGATTATGCAGTGGGTACAATAAACAATGCAAGTATAATCAGGCACCAGCACTTTATTCATCAGTGGTAGATACAAAAATCTTTGGTATATGGCATCGTCTTTTCCATCTAACTTAATTAAATATTAAGGGATTTGAAATAAAATATATCTCATTGTCTCCTGGAGAAAAGCAATGGTCACTTTTACATTGTGGTTAATGTGATGCAGTCTGAAAATTCTGTTTTTTCCCCATTTTCAATAGTGTTTTCTGATAACTTGATTCTTATAGGTTAAACTGTGGTATGACAAAGTAGGACATCAGTTAATAGTAAATGTTCTGCAAGCAACAGATTTGCCACCAAGAGTAGATGGACGCCCCAGGAATCCCTATGTAAAAATGTATTTTCTTCCAGACAGAAGGTAGTAGTATTTTAGTTTAGAAAATTGTGTTGTAATTCACCATGCATTGGATTAACTTTAAAATGAATGCTTATGAAGTAAAAAAATTCTTTTTATAACTTGTTATAGTTAGATTAATTACAACAAATAATTGTACTTGAATCATACAAGTCAGTATCAAATTAACTTTGTGGACTTTTGGATGAATGTGATCCACTTCACAGCAAATACTTTTCTCTATTAGACATTATCAGATCAGAAAGAATGAAAACAGTAAGTGCTGGTGAATAGATGACATGTTGTGATTTATCTCAACAAGCAATTTACAACAAATATTTATGTTTCAGTGATAAGAGTAAAAGGAGGACCAAAACAGTAAAGAAAAGTCTAGAGCCAAAATGGAACCAAACTTTTCTCTACTCACATGTACATCGTAGAGATTTTAGAGAACGAATGCTTGAAATAACTGTATGGGATCAGCCACGAGTACAAGAAGAAGAGAGTGAATTTCTTGGAGAGGTGATACATATAATCACATTTCCCCTGACTTCCTTGTTTGGTTCTGAATACATACGCATATATATTTTATATATGTGTTTGTGTGTGGTGCCTTGAAAATAAAATTAAAGCCTGATAATTTTTCTACTAGATTCTTATAGAGCTGGAGACAGCACTTTTAGACGATGAACCACATTGGTATAAGCTACAGACACATGATGAATCTTCACTACCTCTGCCTCAGCCATCACCTTTCATGCCAAGAAGACATGTTCATGGTGGAGAAAGCACTAGCAAAAAATTACAGAGTAGGTCCAAATTCTATTCATCGCTTTTAAAATTTAAATTAGAAATGCTGAATCTGGTGTAATGGTATTTCACTTTCATAGACAAGATAAAAATACTATTTCATAGTCTTTAAACATAATGAAAATGTGTAGCAGAAAAGAGATGCAAATTACGGCATTATGACATGGCAGCCTTTCACCTGTGACACATAACTTTCAAGTATTTGAAACCTGTTGCAATTGGTTTGGGTTTTACTAGCAAAAGAAAATCGTTCAAACATTTGTTTGCATGAATTTCCTTTTAAGTACAAAGTTGAAGTTCATCATTATTCAATACTTTTTTTAGTAATTAGAAGCTTTTTATTTTAAAAAATAAAGTCCTTAAAGACTTATGAGGCTTAAAACCACTTCTTCATAGTCTCAACCTCCATTATGCTCATTATACAGTCAGATGAGAAGTGTAGTTTTGCAGCAAAGAGAAATTGTATGCGTGTATTTGGGAGGTACAGTTGTTTTGATGAGTCGGATTTCAGGTTCATGTAAGGCATGTTAAAATAATGCATTGAAATATTTAAGTGTTGTAGCTTCTCTGTTTATTTAAATTAATCTAAGATTTCTTTAGAAATACAAAGGACATAGGGGATTATTTTAAAATATATTTCCAAGCTATTTTTCTGTTTTTTTCTTAAACATGGAAGTCATTCATTCCAGCCAATGTGTAGAAAATTGGTGCACATTCAGGAATGAATTATAAAAATGTGATCCTGCTGTAATTGCTGCATGAGGATATGTATAGAGAGAGCAAATTAAAGGTTAGTTTTCATAAGATATTTGAACTTTTCTAAAAGCTGGCAGTTCTGTTTCCTCTTCCCCTCTGTCACCATATGCTGCCACCTCTCCTTTCCTGTGCAGCAAGCTGATTCAGCTTACTCACTGAACTAGCACAATTTTTTTTTTTTTTCATTTATTTGAGTTCACTTTTTCCTGGTTTAGTGAGATAAACTATCCTAGTAGAGGATTACTGAAGACTTGAGGGAAGGAGAAGGGGAAAGGAGAGGAGGCTGCAGCAGCTGTAAGATGTTAAATTGGCTCAGCTGTCTTGTGAAACATCACTGTCAGTCACTGCAGTTTAGTTCTCTACTGTTTAGACTTAAAATCATCTTTTTAATTTCAGTAGTACATTAAATGAACATATTTTTACATTATATAACACAACCAGATGTTCAGGTATTTGTTTACCTTACTGTTGTGCAGGATCTCGGCCAATCAGTGATAGTGACATCTCAGATTATGATGTTGATGATGGTATTGGAGTTGTTCCTCCAGGTGCGTGGATGAACAGCATGGTCCTGCTTTCTTCTTCTTCTTTTTTGCTTGTTTGTTTTCTGTTTTGGGGGTTTTTTTTTGTTTGTTTGTTTGTTTTTGTTTTTTTTTTCTTTATAACATTTTGGAATATTGAGGATACTGGTTTCAGAGAGTGCATTGTGAAAGCAAACAGTTTTCCTGATTATTCCATGGTATGTGTCCTAAATCATGATGAATTAAAAGATTCTACTATTCATTCATTGATATTTCTTTTATGTATCATTCTTCATATGTGAACCACTGGATGGTTCAAATTGTTTAATTGTTTACTTCATAATGTTCCAAGCATTATTTAAAATATAAATTAAATGCAAAAAATAATATTAAAATAGTAATTAATATTTTAGTGTTTATTGCAAGCATTTTTTTTTTTTTTTTTGCTTGAAACTTAGATATAATGCAGTCTCCCACGGACTTTATTGAGAATGCATGGCTGTAGATTAAGATGCATGTAGCATGGCTATATCTTTTACAGTTTTCATAAGCCTTCATGAACTATCATTACCCTAAATGTTCATAAATACACACTTGTAGAGACTATTGTGGTTTGACTCTTAGTTCAGCACTCCTTACATACTGAAATTCTTGAGGATCATTTTGGATACCACATTTTTCTACTTCTGTTTGACTGTTGCCACGAGTCAGATGAATATGTTTTCCAATTGTCACAAACTAACTGGAGTCGCTATGTCATTGCCAGCACTAAATCAGGTTTTTCTCCAGATCTTCCTGATGAAAATTGCTGAATGAAATCATGGTAGGATTTGGAAAGCTCTTTTATCTTCCTGATCTGTGTTTAAAATAATCTGACAATTTATTTATTCATTATGTAACCTTACAAATAAATTGTGTACTTTATTAATGGAATATCATTTTAATGCTTACTGAGACAAATTCTTCTTCCTGTGACGTTGATTAGTTTCTTTCCTTACTTTAATACATTTACCACCTGAGTTACTAAGAACAAAATTTGTTCAGATATGTCTAGTAGTGATATTTGCTTTAATGAAGTGATTAATCTCACTATTTTTATATCAGATGAGAGAGTAAGCATTTAAAATTAAAATAAATCCTAGGTTCTAAATATTTTTTTTCCTGTTTATTATTTCATTTTTTTAGTTGGCAATGTATATACTGGCATATCTGTGTAGACTTAGAAATGTTTAAGATTTCATTATACTGTATTAAGAATTGGGGCTTTTTTTTTTCAGCTGTCAGTTCTTCAAGGCATCCATTTGCCATTTGAAATAAACCATTTGCTACCTGACAGGAAACATTCAGAAATGTTCAGCTGGAGGCACTGGTCTTTGTTCATTGGGTCAGCACTTGAGTAACTGATTCTTATGGAAAATTCTTGGGATTGTACATGCTCAGGTGTGCCTTTAAAGAATGCATGGGTCCAAACTTTCTAGAAATCACTGTAGAAAATTACAAGATTTAATCTGTAGCAATAGGATTTACAATGAGCTCGGAATCTCTAAACTGAAACTTGAAGGGCGTCTTGGGGAAACTCCTTCTGAAGTCCACCTAATCAGAAACAATGAGTTTAATGGATGCATTTGCTTGGCAATTTTAAATGGAGTTCGTCTGTTTGTGATTCCTGTGTGAATTGGATGTACATATAAGGGTGGGGGTTTTGTTTGCACATGTAACCTGAATTTTTAAATGGGAGTTAGACTTAAGGCACACAGGGGCAAATGAAAATTTTAGTCATCACCCACTTGTGTGGCAGCCTAGACAGCATATGAAAATGCATTTTGCAGTGAGAATTGGAAAAGGTTGCCAGTACCACTGTCTACTGAATTGCTTGAGAATCTTAGGCACAGATTCACAAATGTTCCTGGACGCCAAGTTCAGATATGCATGTCTACCCTCCTATTGAATGGCTAAGTCTTCTAAGATTTTGGACTTCTTCCTTCACTTGCACTGAATGAATAGAATAGTCTCTTATTTAACAGTCTCTTCTGTTAAAACTAAGTTTCTTGAAAGTTCCTTGTTGTGCTGCAGGGTCTTTACCCCTTCTTTCCTCATGCCTCCCAATACCATGGACATCACTAGAGTGCACTGCAGCTCTTGTCTGGTCCAGATTTCCTACACATGCTCCTGCAAGGTGTATGTGTGGGAGGGAATGTCAAAAATCCATACTTCCCCATAATGTAGGATGATGATGCATCTCAGATGAACTCTTAGACCATTTTGGCATAGCCTCTATTGGCTTCAAGTAGATTAATCTAGGATTAAGATATTGCTTCTCAACAGAAGAATATCAAAACTGAGTTTACAACATGTGACACAAAAGAAAATGTTCCCCTTTAAAGCCCCTTTTCCTTCCTTTACCACTTCTCAGTGTTACCCGCCATGGTGCTTATATATGATAAATAAAGTCTATCTTATTAAAGGTGTATTATTACAGTTGTTAATTTATTCTTTTTCTTTAAATATTCAGAAGAGAAAGAAGTTATATTGGCTTCTTAATATCTCAAGATTTCACAAAGATTATTGCTCATTTTTTGAAAAACAGACACCTAACTGCAAAATGTAGAAGCACAAAAGTTCACTTATCACCACAATAAGCTAAAAAAGGAATTATGAAAATATTTTGGTTAATTTAACGTTAGAAATCCTGATAACTATAATTTCAAATGTTTTACCAATTGCTAAGGCAAATGCAGTATTAGCATTTAATAATAACAGAGAAAGCTATTTTCCTAGAGGTTTCAGCAGCTGCATAGAGTCATTGATTGTCAATGGAAGTAAAGACTACTACATTAAAAATAATGGCACATTAATAACTTCAATAATATATTAAGAAAAGTATTTTTCCCCTTCTCATATCACAGATGTGTCTTATCTTTCATATAATTGTACTGTCCTCATTTATTATTAGTATCTTGCAGTGATATATGTAATTTTTTTAAATCAGCTCATAGAACTGTTCATAAAAGAAGTTTATATCAACAACTGAAAGTAATTTGAAACTCAGCTTTAACAGAATTGATTTTTGACAGGTTTTTGTGGTATGCCCACGCCTATTTACTTGAAGAAAATATCACTTTATGTCTCCTAGCCTCTCCTCATATGAGAGGTGCTCCAGTCTCTTAATTATCTTTGTGATCATGAGCTGCAGTCATATCAGTAACTCCATGTCTGTCTTGTACTAGGGAGCCCAGTACTCCAGATGCGGCCTCAGTAGTGCTAAGTATATAGAAAGGGTCATTAAAGGATCAGTAAAGGATTTAATAAAATCTGAACATGTTTTGAAGCCCATCTTTTTAACCAAAACTTCAGTGACATTCTTAATTTAAAAAGAGAAAAAGCTGATATACAGTTGGCAATATTCCAGAGGGTATACTTAATGAGCTCTATTGCTTATGCTATGGGTAACTATGGTTCAGAAAAATTTATTTTTCTATCATATGTAATCTGTATGAATGGTTGCATTGTACTTACCTTCCTCTTGTAGCAGTAGGATTGCATCAGTGCAACACCTTGTTGTCTTTATTGTCTTTTTTTAAAAAAAAAAAAGAATGGTGTCTGGTATTAAATATTTACTAGAACATTTTCATACTCCATCCAGCTTCTGCTTCATGTCACACCTGACAGTTTCCCATGAGCAACTGAAAAACTCCTTCTGCATAAACTACCATAAGCTTAATTGCTTCTATCATGCTGGTCCATGCAAAAAATTTCTCTGCTCACTCTGGAGAGCATAGATCCTTTGTATTTGAGGATATGAGGAAATGTGACTGTTGCTGTTGCTGTCATGGTCACTATGGAAGTATGGATGCAATTTGATCAACTTGACAATACTTGAGCTAATACTTAGGATAAATGTGAATTGATATTACTCTGTCTGTTCTGTAAGCTTTGTGTACACACAGTGCACAAGTTTCAGATATTGTTCCCTGGATAGCTTTGCTATGAAGAATATATAGTCTAAAACAATCTTTTTATATCAGATTTTTAAGTGTACAGGATAATCCTAGGTGTATTTTTTTCAGGCAGGCTAGAGATACTCTAGAAATGTATTTTAAACTGAAATTTATACTTTTTTTTATATATATAATTAAATTAGATGTATTTCAGTATAGTGGCCTAAAGCTTCGAAAGGGGGTTTTGATTTCTTTGATTTTACTGTTGAATAAAAGTAAACTAGCTTTCCTTTTGATAGAGTTGACAGGATTTTATCTAAAACAAGCTTGTCTGGAAAATGAAACATATTTTCACACATACAGGTTGGATTTAGTTCTCCTGGGAAAAGGAATACATCAAGATTTTGTCATGTGTAGTCTTTTTTCTTCCTCTGACAAAAAAACAGATATTTTTTGCAGCAACCTTAGTACATGAAATGAGGGAATCTCCACTGAATTCCAGAGAGAATTCCTTTTTTGCACCCAGTCCTTGTCCTTAGATCAGGGAGATCCTCATGATTCTTTCTAATTTTATTACACAACTCTGAAACACTTTTTTGTCAGGTAAGGTACTCCGTCATCACAGTACTTCAAATTCTGTGGAACATTGGAGTCATTCTTTGTTAAAGCGTTAATAGACCTCGGTACTTTCATGCATGCTGTCAACTTTACAGGCCTATTTTGCAGTCAGTACTCAGTACAGCTTTGCTATTAAAAATGCTCTTTAAATGGCAATCATTTGCTGGTTTTGTAGCTACTAGTCACCTCTCTTTTGTAGCTACAAGTGAGCTCTCCCAAAAGTTTTTTCTCCATGTTTTCTCTGGTTTTCAAACAGCGACCCCTACCTTCCCCAAACTTGAGTCACATTTTAAATATGATGTTCATTATTTTTATTTGACATGTCTAACTCTGTTGTTTGAGAACATTGCACACGTTTAACATTATGATCTCTGATGTTTGTTTCTGAGCTACATGATATGTTCTTATTACAAGTGCTTTTCTTTGGGCCCAGTCCTACCCTCTAAGATCTATCAATACTTATAGTGCTTCTTGTTTCCCTGATCTATTAACCTCATCCCCCACCCCCTGCCTCAAGAAATGGAAGAAAAAATATTATTTCACATGTTCAAACACCAGCTGCTACACTACAGAGTAGAAGACACAAAAGTAGGACAAAATTATAGCAGAACTTGGAGAGGTCTGTCTGCATGTTTTCTAGCTAACAGTAAGGAGAAAGTCTGTAGTAAAACTGTATAATCATCTTTTAATCAATATTTATGTTCCCTATCATATTTGTAGTGGTAAATATATTAAAGACAAGAACTTATTGAAGCCAGACTTTTTTTATTTACTGAAGTTGCTGGAAAGCTGGTGTAAGGCTGAAAGCTACTACAGCACCCAGGTGTTCTGTTATCTTTGGATAATTTCTGCTAGTTTGTTCAGTACTGTATGAAAGGTGGACACTGTTCTGGTGGCTGTGATACTATAAGCTGTATAATCAGGAAAACTAGTTTTAGAGTTCCTTGAATGATAAAATGCATCATTGAGTAGGTCCCTGTTTTGAGTTTTGTGTTACTAAGACAGATCTGTTCTATGGTGGAAGATACTCTTATTTTAGGATTACTTATCACTGTTTTAAAAAAGTGTTTTTCTCTAGGTCTAATAGTGAGGTAATACATTCAGATAAGTTACATGCCAATTAGAATATGTTGGTAAACTGATGCACAATTTGGAAAAAAAAAGCATGAATGCTTCCTTGATATCTGTGATCAGTGTTCAGACTTGCAGCTAAACAGGTTATTAAGTGTCATTGAATACATGACTGAGCCTAATCCAGACTCTGTATATGGGCCCCATTTTTAAGAGGGCTATAACAATGTGGTAGAAGATCAGAGAAGAACTGCAAGAATTATACAAATCATACAAAATATGAAAAAACTTCCAAACTTCAAACTCTAAAACAAGATCCTTAAAAAGTGTAACTTATTTAATTTATCCAATTGACAACTGAGTGACTAAATCATAGCCTCTTCCTGAATGGAAAGAAGATTTCAACAGGCTGCTTTTTTAGCTGAACAAAATAACTCATTACAGGAACTTAATGCTAGACAAAAGGGATTTTCTGTCAAGGGATTCTAAATGTCTGGAAGTGAGCAATGGAAGTGTGAGCAAATATTCTTAAGGTCTTTTGGAGAGACAGCAGGTACCTTTTGAAAGATGTGCATCTTATTGAGCTTCGTTGCCTGTTTTAGGATGGGGTCCAAAGGCAAACAGTACGCTACATGGAAAAAGGCACAGGAATATCAACTCTTTAAAATGTACTAACATCCTGCTGATGTTTATTTTTTTTTCAATCCTGTGTAAAAATGAACTACGAGAAACTTTGCAACTCATACATAGTATTTGGAAACAATGTTCTACAGAGTATGCAACATCCAACATTCTATACAATATACTCTAAATGCTCATAATTTTTGAAAGTAGGTGGTTTTGGCCGAGTTCAGTAGGAATACGTCTTTGTATTTAACTGAAACAAGAGTCACAAGGGTGCTTTATGTATGAGAAGTTCTGGAGGAGTCTGTGCTGTCATACAGAAGCGTGCCTTCTCCATTTGTTGGATGAGGTAAACCTACATTGCTTGGATTCCTTTAAAATATTTGCTACTGTATGAAGTTTTGAAATACAAGTTACTCTGGGTTATCTTACCCAAGTCAGAAAACTGTTTCAGTCCTCTTCTCCACATCTTCCAGTGCATAATGAAAATCATCTCAGTTTCTCTGTCTCTGTACAGGTAGACATTTAAAGGTAATGCTAATAATTTATCCTGGCTGCATGATACATTGGGATGTGCAACAGCTGAATGACAACTTGAAAGTTATGTAAGCGTTTAGATGTGTGTTCCTAGAAGGACTAATCATCTGAGTTCTTTCCAAACGCAGATTTTTATTCTCTAATTTCTCTTTGTTGCCCTCTTGCCAGTAGGTTATAGATCTAGTACTAGAGAAAGTAAATCTACAATGCTAACTGTGCCAGAACAGCAAAGAACAACACATCATCGTTCACGATCTGTATCTCCTCACCGTGGCGACGATCAGGGCAGGACCCGTTCACGTTTACCAAATGTGCCATTACAGAGGTAGGCATCACAAGTTAGTGAAATACTGGGTGGTTTCAAGTTTGTATAATTTGTCATTATTAAATTTTCTTTTGTTCAGCAATTTTGCACAATTTAAAAACTTCTTTTGTATCTGAATTTCATAATGTAATGTTTGAACTTGATGTACGCTTTTATTAATCATTCAAGAGCACTCATGGGATAAATCGTAACTTTGTAAGACTTACCTCTTCTTACTGATATTTTCCCTGTGATTCGTCTTCTGTGTACCATAACTGATATGTAGGTTTGGAAGTGTTTTTTCAGTCAATGGCTAAATCTTGTATGAAGCCACTTAAGTATATTTGTAGGATAATAAATAGTGGCATATACAAATTGTTTAATAACTATGAATTTAACTAATTTTGAAGTAACAGTAAGCTGAAATTACTGATTGTATTTATAATGTGATATTTTTAATGGAAGAAGTAAGAAATACTTTACTGAATCAGATAGTAATTTATAAACCTACTTGCTGCATTTACTGCATTTAATGGACAGCCTATTAATAGAAGAATCCTATCTGAGCTTTTCATTTGCATGCTTTATGTTTTTTTTGAATAGTGCAGTACAGACTGTTTAAGCATAAAACTTGACCCACTTGATTTTGTTTGTTTTATTGTGCAGGGCAATAAGCTTCTCTTGCAACCTCTCACGGAACCCTAAAAATCAGCTGTTTTTTACCAGTTTTCCTTTCCTCCAATTTCTAGGAAGCCTTGTTCTTGAATTATTGCAAGAACTTGAGGTGTTACACTAGCAACATTAATGCCACTAGCTGTGGTTGTTTACTAAAAATCTACCCTTCGTAACTCAATTTTATGTACAAAATTCTGTGCTACAGTAGTGTCCTTACCCATCATTTCTGTGTCTGTTAATTTGGAGTTCAATCACTGGTCATTTAATACCAGACATCTGTGATGTTTCAAAATGATGGTACATTCTGGAAAACCATCTTCTCCTCCCAGTTGAGAATCCTCATGATCTTGCTTCTTTCTTCCATCCTCCATGGCATATATACTGTTCTTGCGCATTGAAATTTTGTGTGCTTCTTAAATTCCTGCATGCATTCCCCTCTGTTACATTAGTTGTTACAGATGAAGCTATTTGAGTACCCATGAAATCACATGCTGTTGTATTTCTCAGTAATGCATCCTTAATGGATGGAAGAGTATGTCTGTACATAAAGTAGGCTGTGGCACTGACCATTTTTTTTACAGTGAAGAGAATAAGAGCTCCTCATTCTCCTTTTGCAAACGATTACATGTGCTCTTGTATCTTTCTTTCTACAAGCACAATACACAAATGAAATATTTCATAGTCAATTCCACCCATCCTTTAATTTTATACCATGAAAAACAAATGCTTCTTGTTCCAATGGCAGTTACTAAACTAAAGGGAGAGCCTGACCTTCAAGTAGTAGTTTCTTTTCTTGTTCTTTTCCATATGAAGAGAGCTTTAAATTACTGTCATGGAGGTCAGAACCTACTCACATTTATATAAAATCATAAGCCTTTTGTGTAACACTTAGTCTGAGATTGATAAAATCTCTTGCAAGGTCGTATATCCTATCCCCGAAATTCTTAAAGAATACTTGGAGATATCTGCAAAAAGCTGACAGCCAAAAATTAGCCCTTTAGAAATCTGGCTATGAATCTACAAATGCATAAAACTTATTTTCATGTGAGGAATTATCAGTTCTTGTGTTACCTCAGTTATTAAGTACAGGCTTTGGAAATGCCATTACTGAATCCATCAATGGACACAGAAACAGGCATGTACTTCTTTCTAAATATGGTAGAAAAGGCTGCTTTTTATACCTAGAGGTGTTTTTTAAAAAATCTTAGAATCTGAAATTATTTTAGAAGTCATACATTAGCAATTTAAAGATTAAAAACTTCCTTCAACAAACTTGCACTGTAATCCATTAAGCTTTGTTATTTAAGATAAAAAAAGATTATCATAGATATTTCTGCATTTCAGGAGTTTAGATGAAATTCATCAAATGAGAAGATCACGTTCTCCAACTAGACACCATGATGCCTCCAGAACTCCAGTTGATTACAGATCCAGAGACATGGATAGTCAGTATTTGTCTGATCAAGAAAGGTACATCATCAGCCTGAACTTGGAAAAAAGTTTAGAAATGTCTTTGTCAGTTTGCCTGATTTTCAAGTGTTCAGTAGAAGCACAACTGATAGTAATGAGAAGGAGAGAGAAATCATCCTGACAGATCTAATGGCATGGTTAAATTACCTAAACCTCTTTTTTGGTAAAACTGTGCACTGGGTTGACAGTAATAGCAGGTATCTAGACTAACAGTTCTTGGGTGTTTGTCCTAGAGTATTCTGCTGTTTGTTTCATGATTGAATCCCAGAGATTTTTGCTAGAAAACCATAAATCTACATGTGTGTCCTATCTTTCTTGTAACTCAGAATTTATCTGGTTCTGTAGCCAGCAAAATACCAGGCACATGTTCCTACTAGTTGGGAGTTGCATATGCTATGATTTTCATTCCTGTGCTCATAGATTTTGGACATCTACATATGCAGGCTCACAGGATCTTATGTAACATTCTGGTGAACTTGGCATAGCAAGCATACTTGTGGTGCTAGTAATTAGCAAGTATCTCCAGTCTTAGATGCATGACATGTACACATCTCTCCCTGGAATACATGCAGTGGCTACACTCCTCAGATATTGCTTGGTCTCTCCTAGTAGGTGCTGTTTTCAGATATCTAGGAATATATTCTAATAAAATGGAAAAAAAAATTCTGTTTAGCTTATAGCTGAAAAAAGTTAAAAAAAAGTATTTCAGTTCAGTATTTGGGAAACATAGTGATGACAGTCACACAGACTATCAGTGCTTTTGGGTTTGCTCACTTAGGAAAAAATCGTATAGCTAAACTATAATGGCAAACTTTTACCATTCATATAAAACCAATTGTCTTTGGATTTTATTTTTTTTTTTGCAGTAAGTTACTATTTTTTATGAGTAAGGATGACAAAACATTTCCAAATGATCCAATAAGTTCAGTAGAGAACATACATTTCATAGTGATGTGAAAATGTGGGAAGAATAAATCATAAAAATCTCTAGAACTCTGTTTTTAAGCAACATAGAAATCGAGTAACAGATAGCTTTTGCAGTTAAACTAGTTCAGTTTTGTATATGATCTTGCCTGTTTTGCCTTTAATGTGATAACATACATATAGGAATTAATGATTTATTTGGAACATTTTAAAATTCAACTGTAGAGGCAAGAAGTATATACAGAATTGTCTAAGTTGAATTGTTGTACTGAATTTCCTTTCAGAGGTGAATTGAAATGCTTTTTAAATCTAGTAGTCAGATTTATTGTTAAGCTAGTTCAACTAATTTCTACTTGTGGCAAATGTTCCGTGTTATCTGCAGTGATATATTCAAAAGATTCCTGAAGGTATTTATTGAATAGATATCTTACTCAGCAGATGTGAAGAGGAAGAGACATTAAAAAGTAGCTTTTGTCAGTAGAAATAAACATAGACAGTTAACTGACTAGAAAATTTTCTTCCAGTAAAGCCTCAAACCATGATATAAATGATGATATGCACATGGAATATGCTTGGAGAGCAGGGCTTGCATTGAGGCTGTCTTGGAGATGAGCTGTCAGACCAGAGCCACATTTGTTCAGAGGAGTAAGACACAGTCTTCAGTTCTTTTCAATGTTCGGAAAACACTTGTCAGAAGTTTAAAGATCAGATGTGAATGATGTATGTGGCTTATTTGCAGGATTTAAAGATGGGTCCATGTACTTACTCTTCTTGAGTAATCATCTTGTCTGCAGTGGTCTCCTTTTTTCCATTTTCCTTTTCATCTTTCCCCCAGATTTCTTCAGTTGTGGAGACTTCAATTCTTGCAGATTTCAGTCTTTCAGTACATAAGAGCAGCATCATAGGAAAGATCAAACCCAGCTTTTATTGAGGAAGATTCTCTATCACATCCAGGGATTTTAAAAAAGTATTCAGTGTTATGTCTTAGTATCAATAGTAGCATAAGCATTATGTGTTGTTCATTTACTGAACCCTTCATCTAAATGAGTACGTTCATGTAGATACCTAACATAAACTTGGTTTGAAATGTAAGTATTTATCCAATAGTTGCATGGCAGAAATTACAGTTGCTAATTACTTATGATAATTTTCTCAATGATCTGTTATTGGTCCCAAATTAATATTGTATATTCTGAGTAGATCTTTGTAAAAATAGTTACTATAATCTTTTATTAAAGCATCTGGTGTGATAAATTTCCAGTGGAACTGATCTGTCCACTTTATGTTTTCTGTATATATTTATATACATATATGCACACACGTATGTGTGTATATATATAACTCTGTTAGGAAAGCTTTTTATTAGAAAATCTAGCTAAACAGTGTACTTTGGTCAGAATTTAGGTTCATCATTCAATTTTCAAGGGCATGGCCCATTTCATCTTTTTTTAGTGTTTCTTTTATTCCTAAATAAAATCTGTTAATGTGAGTACTAAAATGCTCACATTAGAAAACACTCAGTTTAGAATAATAATCTTTTTTCTAAATTTCTCCAAACTAGACTGAATTTATTATAGAACTGTGAGTATCTTCTTATATTATCAGTAATCTACTGTGATGGATTCTTTTGCTTTGCTTTTTTAACTTGAAGATTTCATGGTGGATTTGCTGTTTTTTATATCCCTTTTCTGGGTGAATTTTATATTACAGTTTGCCATGGGCCAATTACAATAAATACTCTTTGTCTTAGCAAAGGTAGGGTAAATATTAATGAAGTACCCTATGATTTAATGTGGACTTCGCATCTACTTCAGAAGTCTTAAGAAAACGGTAACTTTTTTCCTAAAATGCATGTTTATTTGTCATTTGGAAACCTGCATATAAATTCTGTCAGTCCTCTGAGCTTACAAATGGAAATTGTGCTTAAAAAAACACCAAACAATTAAGTTCAACTTCAATAAATTTTATTGCATCAAAATCAGGCTGTTTTTTCCAGGTGCAAAGTTAAATCTCACACGTGACTTACAAGCCATTATTTGAAGCTGCCCAGTTTACAATTTTAGATAACTGTTGCCTATACTGCATCAATTAAACGGGTCATTTTATAGTGGCATGAAGGACAAAACACAGTGAACAACTGCTGGTTTATCTATTTTGTAATCTTTTCTCTCTTTGTCGCCATAGTACTTCATATGATTCTCTGCTTCTTTTAAAATAGCATGTTTCCATGAAGTTTAATTTCATATTTATGATAATTAGGAGGTTTGGAGCTTGGCCTTTCTGACTGTGTTGAGGTACACAAAACTACAAGATTAATTCAAAGGATATTTCATATCATAGTCGTATTTGCCATAGGCATAAATAATTATTAATTTTACCATCTTGCTGTCTGTAGCATGTGTTTGGTTACAGTAAATGAAAAATAGAATAGATGGATAATTTTCTCAATTGGAATCAATAAGAAACAAAATGTCTGATGGCTGATTAGCAATTTTTGTGTTCCTTTAGGATTGCATTACAAGATATTGTCGAGAGCTATGGGTCAGAATTTGTATTTGTCCAAATGTAATATTTCCAGTGAACATATATTTTTGTTTTTCCCAAAAGGGTGGCCGATTACCCTTTCCATAAACCAATCTGCAGTAAATTAGTGGCAAAGTCTCCCGACTTTTTCATGTATGTTTTTGTGGTTTAGGAAGAAAAAAAAAATCAAACAGGCATAATTCTTTTTTTTCCTAAAGTATTTCTTGATTAATTAGGCCATGAGAAAAGAGGCTATTAGAGAAATGTAGCTGGTTTATGGATACCTTTTGTCATGAGGAGCTCTGAAACAGTACTTCTGATTTTTAAAGTGAGAAATTCCACAAAATTCGGTGCCACGCCAAAAGGAATTTGTTGAAATTGTAATTATCACAGGCATTTTTTGGCTCATATTCTTTGAGAAGTGCAGTCTGGGTTTGAACATTATCAGATGTCTATCTGGGTGGAAGCTTTTTGTTTCTTTTTATGTTTTCATTTATGTATCATTGGCATAACCCATGTCATCTAATGCTTCATAATTATATCTGTTTCACTCACCACCCATCCTGTCTGTGCAGTGAGCTTCTTATGCTGCCCAGAGCAAAACGAGGAAGAAGTGCAGAGTGCCTACATACCATCAGGTAAATACAGGAATTTGGTAACCACGAACACATCTGGTTAGTTGTCTATACTTTGTGTGCCCGACATTTTTCCATAGCGGTATTTAGTCCCAGTAAGTAAAGAACTTCCTAGTACAATGTGATCCAGGTGTCAGTTGTTTGTTGTTTTTTTTTTTTTTTTTTTGTTTGTTTTTTTGTTGTTGTTGTTGTTGTGTTTTTGTTTGTTTGTTTGTTTGTTTTAATTATTTTTTTTTAATTCAGTTTGAGAAGTGTATATGTTTGTGAACTTCAGTAGTAAGGATTAAAGCTGTTGAAGAAATTCTGATTTTGCAGTATTTTGTGGTAGATTTTCCGTCTAGTCTCAGAAGTTCTGATCTCCCAATGCATGACAGTGTTGTTGTAGTTTCAAACATTCCTTTTTAGTTGTTTTTATGTTTTATTTGCATTTTCGTGTTTATATTACAGCCACGCAGAAGCCAACAATCTTTGCTTGTTGTGACACCTAATCTCATACTGATTTTGGTCACTTGTATTGGAAAGAACAGTGATTAATGAGGGCTTACTGGGAACCCCAGATTTGAGGGGTCTGGTATTACTTGTTTTGCATCTACAAATCGTGCTATAAATTAGATCCAGGCATAAGCTTTGTAATTTGGGTTCATCTTCAATCTTTATTAATCACTTGTTCCAAAGCTTGGAGATCCCTATCTCAACTCTTCTCAATGTTGTGAAACTAAATGGGACTGAAATATCTTTATCTAACAGAACTAATTCTGCCCCATCCATTTTTTTTTTTTTTTTTACACCACTTCTGTTAACCTTGTTAAAAATACATGTCCGATTGTGTAGAAAACTTTTCACTTAGGATCAGTAAAAATGTAGGTTGAAGTAGTTAACTATTCAACTGCTTCAAGCAGTTAACAATTTTTCTGTTCGGGATCTGGATGTTGCTAAGTTTTACATCAGTGCTATATGTTTAAAACCATCAAACTTTTAAAACCATGTTGTCTAATGTACTTATTAATTCACTTTGTGTAGGATTTTTCTCTACAGAGTAGGGTTTTTTTTTTTTTAATATGCCTTGGGTTGTTTTAATTCTCTTAATTGAATTTGAAACAGCATCAAAAATGCTGTGATAGGGTTCTGTTATAAGGTGCAGTACTATAAAAGTAAAATAATAAATACAAAAATTTTCAAAAAATCTCTTCATCAGTGAAGCTCTTAAATTAAAAATTAAGTTGTTTTTATCAGTAGAAAGAGTTTAATTCCCATCCTCCCGTTAAAAAAGCTTTTTTCTTGACATTTTAAGTTTTAAAGGCTAATAATTTATTTCACTGTCTGTCTTTTTATTGGCATATAATAGCAATTTTTCCTGCCTCCTTCCTATGGCCTTTCTACTGCATCTTCTATATCTTCACGCTCCTCCTTTCCCCCAGCTCTGTGCTTTTTCCTTTCCATCTTAAAGATTATAATTTTAATTAGAAGGCCATGATTCCCATTCAGCAGCCACTGTCTGCCATGAAATTTCTCCCTCATTCATTGGGCAGAGCTGGATAATAAAACAAACATTTTTTGCTCTAAAATCTCATGTACTGCAAGTGATGATACTAGACAGTTGTCATGTAACATCTCAGAGTGCTGCTGTGCTGGATGATGAAGTAGATCTCCTAGGTATTTTAATTAGCTTATTAATAACAAAATTTAATTAATGTATCTTCAAGCCACATCCAAAAGACTTCCACATTCAAAAATGGCAAATGCTAATAAATCTATAATTAAGTATCTGATACTATATATCACTGTTTTAGCAAGGTTTTCATGTTTAGCTACTGAAGAGATTAAAGTCTCTGTAGGTCTAAGGCATCACTAAGAGAACTAAAGAGCAAGTTTAATATCAACCTAATCCTTTACAACAGCTTGTATGCTTTAATTAAAAATCTCTATAAATGGAAATTAGATTGCTTTCATTGCAAGAAAAAAAAAAAACCTGAGCTATACTAATATTGTCATGAATTCATGGACTGTATTAACAAAAACGTAAATACAAGAATTTGTCCCCCACATAATTGTCACGGTAGTTGAGAAGAACATATATTGAGAAATCTACTCATACAACTATTAAATATAGTAGAATTTTATGCATTTATTTTTTGTTATAGTCAGTCTTGGCTTACCTTGACTTGTCTTTTTATTTCTGGCATGTTTTTGTATTCTGTTTTCTTTTCTGTTCTACCACATTCAAGAAGTTCTGTTAGGCACTATAAAACATTACCACCCAAGATGCCTTTACTAGAAAATGGTACTCATTGGAACCTATACAGGTAAGAGGTGTTTAGAGTCCCCTTTAAGTAGTTAGTTCCATCTTAAAAAAATAAGTAGTCTTGCCTTGTTAAATAAGAAAAATAAAAATGTTTCATACAGTTTTTATAACCGAGAGATATAAGGGATATGATCCTAAAACAATTTCATATAACTGTTTAAATTAACCCCTATATTACAAAAAACCCAAACCCAAAACACTTTGTATAAGGTAGTGTTGTCTTCACTGTTAAAATTGTATGTTGCATGTTTTTCTTTGTTACGTTCTTTTGTTCACATATAAGATTTTGGTTACATGTCAAATTTGTTTTCATTTTGTTTAAATAATTTTAATTCACAAAGCTCAACTCTTCCTGCATGTGCTAAGACCAAATCCATGATTAGACAGGATATTTCACTCCTTCGTGATTGCCTTAATTCACGAATACTGAAATTTCAAGATGATCTACCAGTTAGGTAAGAAATTGAGGATTAATCTCCCCTCCTGTTTGGTTCTAAAAGGGATTTGCAGGATAAATGAGCTTCACTGTAAAGTGACTACACATAATATATAGTGTTTCACATCCTTTTATGTTGGCTTAAGATTTACTGCTGTTAATAAGGTTTTAAATTTATTGTTTGATATTTCTCATTGCACTTTCTTACAAGTGGATGTTGTTCTGTCTCATTCAGTTTTAAGCATTTCAACAATCTTAGCAAAAATTTCTAGCAGTCTTTTGTTTGCTTTTATTTTCTAAACAAATCTTGGCACTGTCATCCGGTCAGCTCTTTTACATTTTCCTTGATTAAATCATTGTGATTCTACATTTTCTGTAAAGAGAGCATTATTTTATGAGTTAATATCTAACATTGTATTCCTTTCTTTGTTTTCTTTTTCTTTCTCTTCTACCATTGGATGCAATGCACTGGCACTAGTGAACTACAGCCCTCCCTTGACAGGGCTAGGAGTGCTAGTACCAACTGCTTGAGACCAGATACTAGTTTGCATTCACCAGAACGAGAAAGGTATAAAATAAAAACTTATGAATTTCTTGTCATCTGTGCTGGTGATCCTTATCAGTTTTGTTTTTCTTCACATCAGTATTCTACATTCTCGTACATTCATGTCTGCTTTGGTGTTTGTAGACATTTTTGCTCCTATATTCATGTATGTCATGTAAATTGTGTGTGGGAGTTTACCGTTTCTGGCTTCTTTCCTTGTTTTAGTTCAAGTTGATGTCATTGTCTACAAAAGTCCTCAGTATGCTGATAATAACATTGCAGTGTTAAGTATTTTGACAAAGTACCACTTGGTGGTTAATCTTCATCATCATTTGCTGAAAAGTATCACATTTGTTTCTTGCCTGTTCTGTGGACTGCTAATAAGGCAGTGAGATAATTTATAAATTATCACAAAGGTCTCATATTTCAGACCAGAACTGTAGTTTGTATAGTGATGTATTTTCTACAAAACAGCCAAACTTCATTGCTTTCTTAATCTAATCTGCTGCATCTGCTTTCGCAATTACAAGGCAAATCACTGCATTAAGTTTTTTTCGCTTTGTGACATTCTGTTAAAGCTCACGTAAGTTGTAAGAAGACATGTTTGTAACTTAATGAGATATTGTTCTGTCACATACATTGTGCAGGCATTTTATGGATGCTTTCTGAATTTTTAATATTACAAGAGTTTGGTTGAAAATCTCGGGTGAACCAAATACTGTTGGTGTGTTTGACAGATGGGATTGTTCTACAAGGGAATTTTTCATCACCACCTGTGTTTTTGTCTAAAAACTATACCATTTTAGAGTGAGACTTTAGCTTCACTAAAGGCAATAATAGCCTCCCACTGAGTGGGAATATGGTGGAATTACAATTTCATCTGTGCAATACATATTTAACTATTATGGCATTTAATAATGTAAAGTTGCTTTGTAAGTCAGCCCAAAGTGTGGTGGTTATAAGAGTTGCATCTTTCATTGTTGTGGGAGAAGACCTGTGAAGACAGACAGTGAGAACGAACTTTTCTCTTTGAGATAAGGTTTCTCCTAAGTTTTTTGTGTAATTTCCCTTTCCTTACTACCCACTTCCTGCTGCTTCTTGATTGGAACTTTGCTCTTCTCAAGTTTTGCCCTTGTTGCAGAGGAGTCACTAATGTTCTGCTGAGATATCTCAGATAGATTTACACTAATTCTTTTTAAAAATTGAGCTCGAGATATCATAGATAATATATACATGGTTATTAAAAAACAACAACAACAAAAATGTATGATAGAAATAAGGCCACTCAGAATAAAATACAGGATATTATTCTAATTTTTTTTTTTAAATATTGTAGCATCATATTAATAACAAAGTGTGTAGATACATACAGCTGTATTCATTTACAAGCAGCTATTTAGTGTAATAACACATATACATGAGTAGTATGTTTTGTACTTTGATTTCAAGATGCCACCCATCAAGTTGAATATTCAGTGAAACAAATAATTGGCAATTGTAAACTATCTAGTAAAATATAATCAAAACTACACCTGTTACTGATGTTAGCTAGTTCTATTATGTCTTTATAATTCATACCCAGCAAACTCTGTCCAACAGGCACTGCACAGAATCTGCATAATTTTTCATGAGCTTCTTGTAAAGTGTTTAGTCTGTGTTAATGGCCTCTACTGCTACTAAACATGGGGTTTTGCCACATCACCTGTGGGTCTGATCCAGAAAAATTGTCCGTCACCATGAAACTTTTACTTCTTTGCTTTTAGAAGTCCTAAATAGGTGCTTTGGGCTTGGGATCCTTCATGGGGGTGCACAAAAGCTCTTTTTTAGGAAATTCATATTCATATTTTCCGTTATGATTTTGTTGAAAATAGTAAGATCTGTGTGGCTGTGACAGAGGATTTAGGACATACTTTTTTTTTTTCATTTCTTCCAAGATAGATGACGTTTTTCCAATGCAGCACAATTTTTGGAGGATAATGTTCTATTAAATGTATAAAAAACACCAAACAAATATTCTTCTTTTGAGGGAGGCTAATTTTTGAAGATTTAATTCTCTGCTGTCGAACGTATCTGCTTACACTTTAATGTGAAGTTAATGATTAGTGGTGCATAATGATTGAGGAGTCTTTATTTTGAAGAGCACAGAATTAAGTTCAAGTTATGTAGAAGGCATATTGTTTCTGTGCTGGAAAAGATGAGAATAAGGGACTTAAAACACAGTAAGATAGGTTCATCCTTAACAGTAGGAAAGCTTTTTTGAAAGCCAGTATAATCAAACACTGTAATAGACGATCTAGAAAAGGTTGCCTTGACTTCATTACTGGAAACTGTCTAAGAAGAGATTAGACAAACCTCAGTCAGATGTAGAGTTGGTCCTGCTTGTAACAAAGAGAAACACTCTGTGGTTTTGTGAAGTCCAATCTACACAGCACCACTTTATTATCATTATATTTGAGGGAAATATGTTGAAGGTGGTGTTAGTCGTTTTTGTGGTGTTACCTCCCCCCCCCCCTCCTCAAATGGAATTGTAGATTTTATTTTAAAAATTTAGATTTTTAGTGCTCAAAATGTAAAGTTAGACTTCTAAATGTGGCATTGTATATTTTTTCAACAAAATTAAGATTATGCTCACCTATGGAAAATTATTTCTACTTGTTCCCCCCAACCTTTTGTCTCAGAGTGTATAAATTAGGTTGTGTTTGAGATCAAGAGTTAAAATGGTCCACCTGAGCTTTTTTTAACAAAATTGTATTGGCTGTGTGTAACTGGTGGACAGGAGAGCCCTATTTGTGTCAATGATTTGTTAGAATTGGTTTTGATTCTTAAACTCTATACATCATTCGTGTCATTTGGAATGATCAGGGTAGTTACTGGGTTTTGAGATGCTGCTTTGCCAGTAAAAGTAATTTTGTTGACCCACATATAACAGTAGAAAAATATTTTCGGCAGTATATATGAATTAGGGATATATAAATCTTGTTAGTTACACTAAAACAAAACAACAAAAAAGACATTCCTTTTCTCCTGCTATAAGCTTCATCATTGGAGCAAGGAAAGTCCATGTAACTTAAGTGGTAAACTGACCTTGCCCTGACACGGGCCTGCCAAAATTTTTTGGTAAATGGAATGGTTTGGTACAGGACTTAATTCTTCATATATTTCTCTTTGGCACAGTATACACTAGGATACTCGAAAACATTCAGCCCCTACTAATGTATCTATATAGTTACACCATGCCTGCCTTTGTATTTTCTCTTTTTTTCCCCCCTCCTGTTTATTCCAAACTGTTTGGGTTTTTTGTTTGTTTGTTTGCTTGTTTGTTTGGTTTTTTTTCCAAAATGATTGTGTTGTTGGAGTTCCTGTGATGATCTGCAAGGCATATGTTAGTTTATAATGTAGTCATAAATAACGTCTAGTGCCATTCCAAATGTTTTTGCTGCTAGTGCTTCCTTTAGTATGATTTTTATTGTCCTTTTCACTGTGTCTCAAAATTTCTGCTTTTTTTTTTTCCTTTTAAATTGGGTACCATTTCTTTAGAATGGAGAACTTGTTTGTGACCACCAGACTCCAGTCAGGAAAACACCTAGACATGAGATTTAAGTGCAGTGTCTGATCTGGCTCAGCGGTGGTGTCTCATCATAACAGCATCTTCCCCAGACTGATTTAAGATTGCAGTCAGTGGTAGTTATTTTATATGTAGTGTGGCTTTTATTTACCTTATAAATTTCTTTGTTGCAAGCAATTGTTGTGTGTGTTAGCAGTTAGCACAAGAGCAGTTGTACTGATTAATACTGCTTGTCTGCTTTGGTCCCGAGAGGTTGGTTAGTGGAGATCTGAGAAAATAAAACTGAGGAGTACAGCCCAGGAATTAGTTCATGTACAACAGCGTCAGCATATCTGCAAAGTGCAGCCCAGCATCTGTGTCCAATTTGTTCCGAGGTGCTTCGCTGCAGGAGGAATCAAAATATTTCAAAGACCTTCAGGGTGCTTGCTATCAGCTGGTCACTACCACCTAAACAAAATACAAAGCTGAACAGCTATCTGTTACCTATTCATAAATAGAAAACAGAGAAGTTGGAGCTGTCACTTGATCCAATTAAGACCTGTCCTGATTTCATGTTGATTTTTCTAAGGTTTTTTAGTAAGTCTGAAATACTAGGTATTTGTACTGCATGCCTTTAACAGTTATGTTGAGTATCACCATTTACATTTAAAATAGTGTGCTGTAAAATAACTGCTTGCATTAGGTATGGAACGTATTGTGTTTCCACTTCTTTTCAACCACGTAAAGGAATAGGTTATTGCATGTTTGTCTGCGTTGTATTGTGGCTCATGGTCATTCAACATTCAGTGAAAGAGAGCATGTTCTCAGAGTTCATACTGCATGACCTAATTAATTGTATCAAATGCTGTTTAATATTTGTAGTGGGTATCAGCATATTAAGGTCTTTGAGTGCACTGATGCATTAACATTTTCTTTAACTCTTGCTTCGGAGAGAAGTAGAAACTAACTACTTACAACTTATTTGCTCTTGAAACTTCTGAACGATCTACCTAACTGTTCAAGTGATGCTAATCTCCTTGAAACCTTTGTTACTTGCATGTTCCATAAATCAAACCCTTTCCCTTATTACATGGACTGGAAGGATGCCTCAGAAAGTGAAATATTAGATAGTTGCTCAGAGTTTATGTAAACATTTTGATGTTTGTAAATGAGTCGGTATATTTTGATTTTGTAAATTTTTATACATACACTTGTACGATTACAATCATAGCATCCCAACAAAATAAACAACACCAGTCTATAGTATATATCACTCTAAATGAGCTTTTTTGAGAAAAAAGTCATGTAATATATCAGTTTTCATTCACAAGTCAGGCCCTTTTTGTTAAATTTAATTATATAATATAATCTGCCATCATATACTACAGGGACACAGAGAAATGAACAGAAGAGGAGGCTGGCTGCGCGTACTTTCAATATATATTTTCAAATGAAAAAAAATGAACCCAGTACTTGTACACAAATATGTGTAGCTTAGTTGTAGCTAATTAATTAAACTTTACTCTCATTGCATTCCAGAAAAAGGTCACCTCGTGCCTTAAAATTTTTCTTATAATTCATAGTCCTCAATTTTTACTGAGAATGCATTTTTCAGTGCAAAGAGATAGGAGAGATGGGCTTAACAAAATACCAGCCAGTAGTTGGCAGAAAATGACCATCATATCATCTCTGAAAAGGTCTTCTAGTTTAGAATTACAACTTTCTATGTGAATGACAGGCTTTTAGATAGTCTAGCAGTTCAGAATATTTGAAAACTTAATGGTACACTATGTAAAATATTATGTTGGTCTAAATTCTGCATCTTTGTGCGTTCCTTCTCTTTGTTTCAACTGTAATGTTTCTGCAGTACGCAGCCATAAGAATAGTATACTTGGGGACTAGAAAACTGCTAGAAAAAAATAATTAAATGACACACTTTCATTACTTTTTGGGGTATTTTTCCAGTCCCAAATGCCACATATTTAATTTTATTACAAACTAAATATCCTGTTTTTTTCCTGTTTTATTGAACGGGCAAGCAGGGGTAGATGGTCCCCCTCCCTAGAGAGGAGACGACCTACTAGTCCCAGGATTCATATCCAGCATGCATCTCCGGAGGATGACAGGTACTAGTCAACTCCTCCCAGTCAAAAAGTGGCTTACTGCATCTTGCACTCTCAGAAGAGTATACTGAAATTTAAAAGTATGCATATACATAGAGAGAGACTTAAAACCTCCAGAAGCCCAAAATAAAACAGCAGCTCGGTTATCATCTCTGCGTTTTGTTGAACTGTTATAAAGCACCTAGGTATTAACGTCTTTTCAAGTTTTCTGTTTGCCTGAATGGTCACAAGACATGAAATAAGATGTCTAATACAACAGAACATCATCTGTGTTAATGTTCTTCAGTCTGTTTTTACCTGTTTCTGTAAATGTTGGTGGTGTTTTCACTGTGGTGCTTTATAATATGATAATATTTGTTGTAGAGCCTATTCTTGTCTAGGTGTTTTTTTTTTTATTATTATTTTTATTGGGTTTTTTCCTTTTTTTTTAACACACTGTTTCTAAGGGGAAAAGAACCCCACAAACTGATATGTTGGCAAGTCTTGGCAACACTTGCTAGTTGATGTATGTAAAAATTGGCACTGTGGGTAAATTCTGTCCAAGTCAGGATGGTCTCCATGGAGCAGGTTTTCCTAATAAGGTAGGTTTTGGTTAAAAACACCAGTGCTTTAAATAAATTTTTATGCTGAATGCCAGTTATGTTTAATAGAAGCACCTTTTTTTTTGTCTTGTCATGAACTTTCTACTCCAATCAGTTCTGTTATTCCATTGATTTGGCAATAGTAATTTTTGTGGTATTTTCTTCCAGATAGGTCTGGGGCTTTTTTAAGCAGACATTATAATTTCTGTTGAGATGTAAATTGAAAATTCTCCCTTCAGATTTTTTGTGTGACAGTAAATGACAGGATACAGATGGTTCATGTAAATAATCTGTACATGTGTAAACTCTTATGAAGTTACACTTAAAACTGTAAGACTGGTACATGGATAAAACTCAGTTACTATAATGCTAGTGCTTACCTTCTACTGAAGTCTATCCACAGTACTTATATTTGTACTGCAATTTGTCTTGTTTGCTTGATACTGGATGTATTCCACTAATACAAGGTGGGAAGAGTGTAACTGTGTTTGTATAGGATTGCTTTTTTTATTTAAGACAGCATTATAAATTATAAAATTGAATTGTGAAACATTATTTCAAAATTGTCCCCACTTGCAGATACTACATTTCTAGAAATTTTGCCAGTGCATCCCTTTGATGGGACACCTATTAGTAGTTCACAAATGTACTTTGTATCTTTTAGGCATTTTTAAGTAATTTCACTTCCCATTTTTCAAGTCAATGGAAGGACTGTCTTTGACTTGAGTGGATCAGCGTTGATAAAATCTTGTTGTCATTGAAGTGATCAGAATTAAATCATAATCATCACATATGAGTGAAATGAGGTTTTCATCTAAATACTGCCATCTTTAATGCAGAATTGTAAGCCTTTTGATGTCAGCTGAAGTCTTCTGGAGAAAGACTGAAATCGTCTAATATCTGTTAGCAAACATATTACAGTAAAGCATCTGTAGGATATAGAATCTGTTATGGGAAAGATTTTGAGTTGGAGAAACAGCAGTATAATATTATTAGTGAAATCAGTGCCTTCTTATGCTTGGAAGTCTTGCAGGTACTCTGACTGTCTGACCAGTGATGCAGCCAGTGATGAACCTAGAAGGAGTTTAGTCTAACCTCAATCCTGATGACTGGTTGCACCCTCCCAGTTCCAGGATATTTCTCTCAGATTAAGAAAAGTTCGGAGAACATTGGGCTCTTTGTATTACATGACCAATACAAAATTATAGCCCACATTGTCTATAGAGAGAGTATCATTGAGGGAATCAAAGTTGCTTTATCTTTGTATTTTACTTTTTAAGTTTACATTCATTCTGATTATTTCTCATAGCTTTGTCAGTTGGCCAACAGCACTCAGTTGTATAATTTATTGTTTTTGAGGATGGTTTTACGGTTTTGACAACTGTTGCAGTGTGTTTCAGGGAGTGAGTGTCTGATGGATCAGCAGGGGTAACTAACTAACAGCTTAAAACCACTTTCAAATCGTATTTTCACAGATTAATTGATTTTGACAGATGTCATTTTACTCTTCATTTGAGTACATCCCAGATTTATCTTAGAAATTGGCCCAATTTGCATATAGAGTGCAATAAAGATCTATTTCTGAATACATTTCTTAAACCTATGACTTACGCATTTTTAATTTTGATAATTTAAATTCCGTTTTTGCAACATTATATTTATTGATAATGATTCATAACATAAATTTTAGTAAAGGTCTTAGCAAGATTGTTAGTATTCTGGAATTTGTTCACCTGCCATGTTAGAAAAAGTGACTTCTTGGTGTAGCTTGATAAGATGAAGATAGGGGTTATATGTTATTACAGTGTTAAGAATTAACAAGTGCTTGGTTAATATCATGTATTTCTTTAAGACATTTTAAGGAATACTTTTTTGTTTGAATTTGATAGTTTCATTGCTGGGATGTTTTTTGTTTTTTATATCAGAAGTTAGAACTAGAAAGTCTGTTTAAAATGAAAGACTTTCTGGTTATTAGAGAACTGCAAAATTGTAAGTGATGATAAAAACAAGGAGGATGAAAGTTGAGCATTTAATGGTAGGTGGGGATTTTATTCAGACTGTTCTTTATGAGATGTCTGCATAAAATTTCAGCATGTAACAAAGACTGGATAAAATAAGCCTTTTTAAAAATTAATTCTCATGTATTTTCAGTTAAGAGAAGTGGCTTTTGGCGGTCGTGCGTGCATCTGTAAAAATGCTTGTCCAAGAGTCATCCTGAAGACAGTTGTGGAGCTAATACCCTTTTGGTACTTTAAATGAAGAGAACTTGAGGTGTGCTGTGCACTGCCAGTGGCAGACTGATTTGGCCTGGATGATCCTTTTCCTTCTTTCCAGCAACACTGTGTGACTTGATCAGAGAGGCAGTTTTGCAAGACATGAATTAAAGTGCTAGGAATGAGCGTGAGGAGCTACGAAGCATTCAGGGTAGTTGTGACCTCCCAGCTCATGTACCATGTAGATCCAGCTTTTCAGAAACTTCAGGAGAAATCAGAACATGACATTCTTGATAGCTGTAAGGCTACATAAATGAACAGACACACTGCAAAGCACTGAGGTCTGTTACACAAGCCTGTAATAAATAATTTTAAATGTCAGACACTGAATTATATAAAAATGCTATTTTGTCACATTAGGAATAGTAATTTTTAATTTTGATAGGAATATTATCATGCTTCTGTGTGTAGATTTTGTTTTCACTCAACAGTGGTAAATAGTTTGTGGCACGTGGGTATTTAGAATATCAACAGTGAATAGCTTGTCTGTATATAAAATAATATATAGTGCTTGTCTATATACTTAAGAGGCCTTATTGATCAGTAATTTGGTGTGACAGTTGGTAGATTTATGACCTTAGAGAGAAATTTTAGCATTTCCTCACCATAATGTAGGTATAGATGCAAATTTATTAGATACCCTAGATTATTAGTAGTCTGGAAATTTTGATAAGTTTTCTCATCAAAAGCCAAATTTGATATTTGAAAAAAAAATCTTACCTTGATACACCTTATCAAGAAAAAATACTTTTTACCAAATATTCCCTAAAACACTAATAATAAACCAACAAGCTAATAATATTTATGCCACTTTGAAAGCTGTGAACAAATTCAGAGGTTCTTAAACAGATTCATCAGGAATTAAAATAATGCAGAAATTAAGAAATATTCTGAACTTTATTTGATTTTTTTACAAAACAGCTGAGTCAGTTATTCTACTTTGTTATTGAGTTGTTGTTAATTATTACTGTAGCAGACCGGCTGGCAACAGAATACGAAGTTTTCATCAAAATACATGAAATTATGGAATTTACTTGCATTTTCAGGAGAATTTCACATTATAATGACAAAGTATACATTTTTTAAATTCCTAAGACAAGATGTTTTGTATAGGTTTACATACTGTTCTAATGAACAATAGTGTAATTCTCAAGAAGGATAATGGCAACTACTAAGCCACAATGCTGCCAGTTGGCATGTAGAGTATAAAGGTTTTTCAAAATATTATTGTGGCTTTCATTCTTTATTGCATCTTAAATTGTTGATATTGTGTCTAAAGATTGTAACATTTTCTTAAAGTGTATGGCTTAAATCAGATGAAGGGGAAATGAGAAATACAGCCTTTCTCAGCAGACAGTGCCGTAATGCTTTTGGTTTATATATTTGACTGCCTGTCTCCACCTTCACTGCATGTGACCATCTCTCTGTTTCTGCTCATTCTGTCCAAATTCACATCCATGTTTCCAAATTTTGTGAAGAACAAGGACGCTGGAGTCTTGCATTCCAAAACAGGACAGTGTAGACCACCTAAGTGCTAAACCTGGAGCAGCACAGAGGTATCCTTATTTACTCAAATCATAGTTCCAAGTGAATGAGGTACTGGTTATAGTATATTCTTCATATGCTCTGCATAATACTTTCAAAATTTTTTTTCTCTTTTTATGTATAAGTACATATATGTATTTATTGTTCATAGATAATATTTAATCCCCTGTAAAATACATTTAAGATGTAAATTTGAGTATGACATGAGTGTTCTTATCCCCAGTGCACTCTTTGTACATTGTGTATGGGCATGAAAGGACGCCTACCTGCAAATATGTATCTGGCAATGCCCACAGTGTGCTTAAGCTGAAGGCAGGACTGAAAGTGTTGTAATAGGCTGTTGAGCTATACGGAACTTTATACAGCATCATCTTAGCTAGAGGAAGGAAACAGAAAGGGAATTATTATTTTAAAAGTATTTCTAATGTGTGCTGCTTGCAAGAACAGCACAGAGAGCAGAGAAATAAGTATATGCAGCTCCCTAGTACTGTATGTTATTTTGTCACTTTTCACAGAAAAGCCTGTCGTATTCTCAGGTTTTCCATCCTACAAAGAGTAACCACTATGTGCTCTCTTCCTCCATTGCACACAGTGTCACACTCTAAGCAAGTGACATAAGGAGTAAGAGGAAAATAAGTGCTATATTCAACTAAACAGAAAATTAAGAGGGTGACATCATTTGAGTAATAATGCTGCTGCATTCAGTGAATCTAACCATAGCTTTAAATATTTTGACAACTTTAGGTTTTAAGTAAAGCTACAGCATTTAATCTGTGTTTCCCTGTGTATCCACTGTGTATTTGCCCTGATAAAGAGAAAATTAAAAAGCAATGAGAATATATAAAAAAAAAAAAATCTGGAGAAAATGGTTTGAGGACAAAGGGGATTTTAATTTTTAATCCAATATTTTTTTTTTTGGTAAAAAAAATATATTCTTTTAAAACCCAGAAAGCATCAGGTAGTGGCCTCTGTTCAAGCAAAAAGTGTTTTGTATTTTGCTGCAATATTTTCTTTGCTTTGGAGCATACTGCGTCACAGTATAATGCTCATAAAATATTGCAGTGGGTACAAATCATGAAAATCCACTGTGATTATATTCTTTGTGTATAATTTGACATTACAGCTGTTTAAGTAGCTTCCAGTTCAGACAGTGGATTACTCTTTATAACCACAGTGGTTTAAAAGGAAGATATATTTTTTTTTATCTATCTGTTTTGCCCACAGTAATTCTTTTATATCCTAATATATGACATTGATTATATTGTTGCAAGTTCCTGTACAGATTTCTTTGCACTGGTATAAGATGCAAGTTAGGATTTGTCAACATTTCTGGTCTGTCAATGAAAAATCATCACTCCTTGTTTTTGATCACTCCTGAAATACTGTATGCACTTTTTATTCTAAAAAAATAATATATATTGGTGATTATCAGAGGTTTAAAATTGTAAATCCTAATTTGTAAATGCTCACTTGACTATGGATAGTAAAGAAAATTTCGGAACACACAAGACTTGCAGAGATTTTCATAGTATATTTATGGTCCTTGGTCATAATGGTGAAACTTTACCTTCGTTCTTACGTTTATTAACTCTTATTACTGTTCATTTTTTTATTTACTATCAAAGTAAGTGCTTAGATTGTCAGAGGTAACTAGTGCCTCACTATTCAAATGTCAGATGAATTCTACAAAAGATTTATGTAGGAAAGCAGTGAAGGAATGAAATAAACTTCTACCTTATTGGCTAGAAAAATATAGAATTGTTTTAATCGGTTTCCAGAAAACCTTAACAAGCTTTAATACAATGATATTTTTGAAAAGACAAGTTTTTATTAATATAGTGACAGCATTATTTAAATCTGATACGATGCAGTATTTGTGTTGCTTTTGAAATTTAGATTTAAAAGCAATTTTTAAAATTTACATTTGAATAGTATTTTCTAGTCCTTTCTTCAACATTTTTCCTGCTGTCTACTCTGCATTTGTTACCCATGTTGTTAAGAGATGACTAGAAGGCCTATGAGGAGGCACTGTTTCTAATCAAATACAGACTGTGAAGTGGGAACTAGCTGCAGGTTCAGTCAGGATTAATGTTATCTCCCCTGTTTTGGTACCTCATAACTTTCACACCATCAGCCTCAATCAAACCTAATCAGTGCAATGTATCTTAAACTTCGAGTTCATCAGCCTGTTCATGATAATAGTTGTCACTTTTTCATCTGTCAAGCATTTCTGTTATTACCTTTTACAATACATTAATAAATAATCTTCATATTTCTGTATTCTTTTTCTTCTTTGTTTATTTTTTTTCTGACATGTCATTTCACAGGCAGTCCAGAAAAGTGGAAAGATATAGCAGCCAAAAACAAACTAGGAAAGGCTCCGCAACTGAAACAGAAAGGTAGGATTGCTGATCAATGAGTAAACAACTTCTTTAGTCAATCCAATTCTAGTTTTTGGAATATACTTCTGATGCAACTTTTAAAGTATAACATCTGTGACCACACCAAGATCTGTGTTGTTGTAATTTACAGGATAATTTACTTTGTATCTATATTATTATCACTGCTTGCTGTGTTGCATGCATATGGAATTTTTCTGGCTTTTTCCATCATTGTAGATAAACACAGTGGTAAAGACTAGCAGTCCATCCATTTAATGAGCCAAAATCTGATACCCATTGCTACTATCTTAATCTCTGTATGATGAAATTTTGAAATGTGTAGCGTATTTCATTAGTGTGGGACTCAACCTTTTCTGTGTTTACCACTGATCTTTTTTCAAAAAAATCTCATCTATTTTACAATAAATTTAAGGATGAAAAAAAATACATTAACAGATTAATAATTCAAACTGTCTCTGATTAAATTAATTTTATTTTATAATAGAAAAATATGAAGTTATATGTTTAAATATGTATAGAAAATTTTATAATCTATCATTACATAAAGATAATATAAACACTGGGATTTTAACCTTTGTATTAATTGAATTTTCCTGTACGTGTATTATCATTGTAACTTTTAGCTCTGATGCTACAGTAGTATAGGGCAATGTATTCAAATTCTTAAGAAAAAGTGAAAAACATGAAGATATATACTTAATCATAAGTACATCTAGTTAAGTTTTAAACCCTGTGTATTGGCTGAAGTAAGAGCAGTGAGGAAGGGTAGGATCCTACCATTGTCAGAAACAGGTTTATGTTATCTTCATTAGCAGAGGAGGAATGTACATCTGTTTACATTGTGAGAGTTGAAAAACTTCCATGATCTACTCAGACACATTTTTATTTTCAATGAGAATGCATATTATGTAGCAAAACTTCTGAGCTTTTATTCTATTTTACTGATACAAGTCTCAGATTATTGTTCCAAAAGCAGTGGTTACATTTTTCTTGGTTTTGATGATTCTGTTGTCACAACAGCCCAGTTGCTTTTTCAGTTTAGACCAGAGAAATTACCTAAATGATGGCTGAAATCCTTGTTGTGTTTAAACCAGGGACAGTTTTGCCATTGAGATAACTAAAAGCCATTTTTTCCTCCCTTTTTTTCTTCCAAAGAGTAAAGGGGAGTCACTGGAACTGAGTTCCAAGGGGCTTAAAGTTCTTGATAACCATTCAGCAATAAACCCAGTGGCACAAGAGCATAGGGAAACATGAATTGTGCATCTTTTTACATCTTCATGACGCATGGTGTAGGTTTCTGTTTCCATAAAATGATTCACTATTAGATGTGAGACACTAATGTCTAAGTAAGTCTGAGTTCTGTAGTTTGGTATCATAGATATAATGTTGCACTAGTGTCAGAAAGTTTTGATACTAGGACAAGCAATTAACTTCCTTGTCAAATGGCAAGCATAACACAAGACTATTTCTTCCTCATATATGCATTCCTTAGATTTGGTCTTTATTTTTCAATTTGCAGATTTTGTCTACTATTAGCTAAGCATATTACTGGAATAAGATAACAGCATGCTATCAGCTTCTCTATAAAGCCTTTCAACATGCTATGTAAGATTGAGTTCTCTAGGTATTGTGGTAGCTTATAAAATGTACAGAAAAGGGAAAAAGCAAACCTTTTCAGGATAGTCTACAGAGCCAAAGAGTTCTCTTAATTTGATGAGATGAGCCTTCAAGATGGGATTCAATAAATTCTTCTGAAGGAGTAAAACTGATTACATGAAAATCAAGCACTATCTATGCTGGTATGAATAAGCAAAACCGTAGTAAAAATTGGTTCATCCCAGTCCTAAAATTTTTTCTTTCAGCCCTGACTGATCACCCCAGAAATGCCAGATGTGAGGTTTTCTGTCATATATGTTATGATATATACAGTCTTTAACTGTACTTGCTATATTTTACGTAAGACCCTGTACCTGGGTTCTGCTGGATTGGTGATGCTCACTTGTTCTTCTTTTTTCTTTATAGTTCCATAAGTGGCAGCATGTTTTTTTTAATACATGCCACTGAGACATCAGTCTGAAGAGAAAGGAATTTGAGTTTTCTTGCATTCAGACAGAGCTGGAACCTGTAGGAATCCCCTGTAGGCCATTGCCAATTGAATGAATAGGTTAGCTTCCTCTGTGAGGAACCAGTAGATGAGATACACCCATATGTATTCATTGCACTCTCATTGCTTACCAGGTATCATTTCTCTCTCAAATTCCTCTCCTCTCCATACTTCTTATCTCACTTCTGTCTTGTTTCCTCAGTCATACGCTAGCTTTTGTCTCCCATGATTGTTCCTTTTTGTCTCATTCTTCTAATCAGTGGTTTGTAGACGTCTTCGTTTTAGCAACCGATCTTTCTCCTAGACGAGCAGGTCCTTAACTCCATTATAGTTTTTCTCCAGTTCTCTTTTAGCTCTATTTTCATTTGCACCCCAAGTAGCATATTTGTCTTAATATGATACCCCATATAATGCAAGTCTTAAGCCTGATTTGTCTTCATTTTAGTTAAGCAGATCCTCTATCTTTCTCTCGTGGAAGGGGACAGGTCTGTAAAAAGGGTATTACTGAAAGAGCAGGAGGTAAGTTTCTGAGTCTCAGGTAAAGTGTCTGTTCTGTAATGTCAGGACAGACTCTCCTAGTGCTTCACTGGGCTCTCAAGATGAATTCTGGGATATTTAGCCTCTACAATGAGAAAAATCATAACTGAGAACATGATGACTTTGTTAGGTTGGAGCAGTCATTCACAGTAAAAGCAAGTGAGCACTTTCTGGCACAGAGTAGGATCCATATTTACCTTATGGATGTTATGATGTTTAAACACCTGATAAAACAGATGCTTAAAAGCTGGTTGCATGCAATAGTTGACATGGATTACTTCTATAGTTAGCAATGGAGAAACAGGCATCTTCAGAACTCAGCTCATCTTCATTATCATAAGCATCTTTTAGAATTAGGGAAATCAGTCTCTGCAAGAATGTTACGGTCATCACCAGGGCAAATCAGAAGTTAAGCTAAAGAAGTACTAGGGTTTGAGAGAGAGAATATAGCAAGGTCAACAGAATCCTGGTTTTCTTGCACTGTGGCTGGACTTCCACATGAAGTGTTACTGATGAAATGGCTTTGAAACCAAACCTGTTTGTTATCCTTTGTAGGCATCTGCATGTTATCCTATATATACCTTTTTTTTTAGGATGGCTTTCCAGTGTGCAATAGTCATATAGACAGTCCCTTGGTTACTTTGACTGTATCTTGTGGGAAAGTTGTGCTGAGTGTGTGAAGGGAGACTTTGTAAGTCTGAAGAAATTAAACAAACAAACAAAAAGAGCAAAAGATCCCACAGTGAAAGGATGCCACAGGAAATTTAAATTTCTGAAATAACGGCAGATACAGTAGTACCATTACAAAATGTTGGACTGTTGGGAAACCAAGGAAGAGTGAAAAGGCACAGTTAGAGTATTTTGTCACTCTCCAAACTTGAAATGTTTCAGGTTATCTTATATTTGCAGAGTATGCAGTTATTGAACTATTAATAATGTTGCTTTATTATACTAACACAATTGATCATTTTACTGCATGTTGTAATTGTATTTTCATTAGAGGTCCTTCAGAACTGTATTTCTGTTTTAGGGCTTACAGCAGAAAGTTACTTAAACAGATTCCTTATTTCAAATTCCTAAGGAAATCAAGGGAATTACATACGTGCGTACATATTGTCCATTTTTAGTACAGTAACTGAAATCTAGTTAATATTTTTTAACAAAGATAGAAAGTATGTTTTAGAAATGCTTTGTGATAAAACTAGGTATTCATAGTCTACTCTGTGCTAGTACTTATGTCATGTGTTGTTAGCTTGTGTTTGCTGTGTTTAAGCTGCAGCTAGCACTTTTGGCCAGCTCTCTACCGTGCAGTTTAACAGTTCCACAGTTAGGGTCATGTGTATCTGCAGTGGTGAGTGTTCTGCAGTTCATCATTTTGAAAATGGATTTGCATTCAGAATTAATAACTCCGATCTGAAATGTCAACCCTGGCCCTGAAGCCAGGATTTGCAATGTTCTTTGATGGAGGGGGGCATGGGAAGGTGTGCCTGGAGCTAACAACTGAACAGTTTCTTTTCGGCCCTGATGTTTTAGGGGTCTTCTACCATGTCTTTCTAGAAGGGGACTTCCAACCCCACGAACAACTGAACAGCCAGTCATTAGGGGAAAACATCACGCTCGCTCAAGGTCGAGTGAGCACCCTAGTATCAGACCCTTATGCTCTGTACATCACCTTGCGCCCGGAGGGTCGGCGCCACCTTCTCCACTTCTGACAAGGTTGCTATTATGTGTTCAGCACAGCTTTCATGTTCTGCCTCCCAGATGTCAGTGTGGTGTTGTACTTTCCTGAGCATATGTGGCACATTCACTCATTCTGGCACTGTAGATTATCCTCTCTTCATGGTATTTACACTTCTCCCATATCCTTTACGCCACCTATCTTCACCATCCAGATGGTACTTCTTGCTGTTGAACTTAAATAGTTACTCAATGTAAGAGTAAAAAATAGGCTGTGTTTCGTCCTTCCATTGTTGTGTTTTGTTCCGTACCCATATGAAAATTATCAAAGTATTTTTCTTAAACACTGTCCAGGAAATCGTGTGCTGGTCACACAACTAACTCTGATCTTAAAGGCTAAGAGAAAGTCAGTTGATCTATGTAGTGTGAAAGCCAACAGTATTTTGAACTTGCACAAATGCATTACTTAGAATTCATAATTATCTATTTGCAACCTTAGTGTAGTACATAAACAGTGCCTATCCACTATAGTGAGTGTGATATTACTGTAACTGGCAATGGCATTTAATAGTAAGCTCTCCCTCTCAGCTGTCTGCTTCTTCTTGTCTTTGTTTTATTTTCTTAAAGTTTTTCCCCAGTTATTAGAGGTGGCCCTACTTACCAAACTTAACAGCATTCCAAAGGCGTTTGATGTGTTACACTCAGATGCTGTATCTATATATGAGAAATCAGGTAGCCAAGGTGCTCTGAAGTAATGCTAGCTAGAATTCAGCCAAAGGATTTTAGGATATGTACTTAGGTACGAATTTTGCACATTCTTCACATACTCACACATGCACCCCTCCAATACCAAGGTTATTAAAGATCTTTTTCCTTCTTTGAGTTTAGGGAAAAATAACACATTATCCTGTGGGAGCAGATCCTTGCTTCCTGTCCTCTGTGGACTTATGCAATTATTGCATCAACACAAAGGGAATACAGAAGTTAATAAAATATAGAGGTGGCATTTTGTATTGCCCTTATACCAGTGCAGGAGAACATAGATAAATTGTGAGTCATAATTATAAATGGTTCTTAGAAAACTGCTTTTCATTCAGTGGTTTTTGACTAGTACTTTATGGAAAAAATAACAACAACAAAACAAAGGAAGATGTTTCTCCTTAGTTAAAGGTAGTTAGAGAAATTAAATGTGAGACCTTGCAAGTTAGCTAGATATCTAGACCCCTGGGTATGTGCATATGGCATACACCAAATGCAAACTTCTTCAAACCCATATTCAGTATATGCAACTTAATACGTGTTTAAGATTCAGAATACAAAAATTCTCTTCATTTGGGTTATTTTACTTTTATCTTAATTTCATTTGCAGAATACATCAACAAGGAAGTCCGTCACAGTCTCCTCCTGCAGACACAGCCTTCAGCAGTCGCAGGGGAAGACAGCTCCCGCAAGTTCCAGTAAGAAGTGGCAGTATAGAGCAAGGTATCAAATAATGAGCTTATGATAGCTTAAACTCTTCGATTTCTTACCTTTCTTTACTTAAAGTCTACTTTTCGTAACTACGTGTTCGGTGCTATTCTACCAATAAAGTAATAGAAAAGAATGAAAGCATATTTGTAGTCTGGGAAATCCAGTAGAGTTTGACCGGTGTATTATTCCACATGCTTTGATTGCCTTAATTTTCTTTTATGTTCGTCTACTTTAAAATTTCTATTAGAGTCATGGTAGTTTCCAACACATATCTGGTTTGTTTTCAGCTAAAGAAATCAGGGGCAAAGGTTTCGATAATGTTTTGACAGTCTTACTAATTTCTTATTTTGTGGTTTATGTTAATTGTTGTGCATTATTAACATAGATTAATAATAAATATGACAAATCTGTTTTTCTTCTGGAGTTCATAGTTCAGTGAGTAATGAATGAAAATAATCACCATGGGAAATGTGAAAGCACAGGTCATCAGCTCTTCCTTAAGAATAAACTGATCAGGCAAAGAGTGCTGCTCTTTTCTGAAAAAGATAATGTAGACATAAAGGTTGTGGAAGATGTTTTTTACATACTAATATCAAATAAGTATGAATACTGTTGCTGCCTTTTCTACCAAGATACTGCACACAAAGTATTAGCTATTATGGTAAAATTAAATAGCATAATGGGTAATATTTACACATTCACATTTTCTTCTGTTTAAAAAGCCTGTTTTCTTATTGAGTACAAGCAACAACTGAGATTCCCATGTACTGTAAGGTTTTGTTCTACATGGAAATTAAATAAATGCTTCTAATGATGAAATACTGTAGTGCTTTATAAACTGTTGACAAACCACTTTCTTGAGTAGATAACGTTTCTGACCATGACCTTCTTACCATGGTAGATTACTGTAGGAGGTTTTTTGTATGATGACTTACACTAACATGCAGTCAGTTTACATTAATTTTATGGCTTTGAGCTGTGATGGCATACTACACCGTCAATTAACGTATACAGAAGTATATTCTTGTTTTATACATGTGTCTATTCTGAATGATTAATACACTAATCCAAGTGGGTTTTATTAATTTTAAACTTTACATTCGGGTCCTCTCATTTTGTTTTGTAGTGAATCTAGGACTGTCTGGATTATAAACTAGTTACAAACTACATTTACAGCTTCTATTTCTGCATATTAGTAAGTTAAGAGCTTTCTAGGGAAATGTAATAAGTAAGTAAAGAATTTCAAATTTCATGTTTCTTCTGCAACTTCAGAATGTGATACAATATATAATGATGAATCAGCTCTTAATTTAATTTTATGTTGGCTTTCCTTTGGATATTCATCTATCACCTTTCCGCTGTTCTTGATAACTGGTGTGTTGAGAATAAAATACTAGTTTATGTCTTGTCAAAGACATTGGAAATGAATGTAGAATTTATCATGAAAAGGAATAAGATGGTATGTATACAGAAGAGGAAAGAAAAAATGAAAGTTGAGCAGAAGGCTAAAGCTATTCTAGGTTTAGAAAGTTGTTGATACCATGAACACCTGTAAAGTAATGCTGTTTTGCTGGACTCTTATTTACACTTGTGCTTAGTATCCTTGCGTCTTATGTATAAAATGTACAGGTAGGATGCGACATATCATTTACTTTGTTGTGATATATCATACCGCCTGTGTCAATATGGCTGTATTACGGCACATGGAACTGAAGGCTAAAGAAATTTCCTTCTCTACCTAGTACTTTGGTTTTGCCTAAGTGACTGGCTTGTCCTTTTGAAGGGGAGGTTTTCTGATTTTAGCCATGTTTGCTACTTTGCTCAAGCTGAGAATATATTTGCAGAGATGTACTAAATTGAATACATTTTATAAAATATTTTTTAATGGTTTTGTCACTATTTTCTGAAATAAATATAATAGTATGTATAAACTTGATACTAATGTAAGAAATTAAATTCAGTGAGGCTATAAGACCATAGTATTTGCTCTGATTTACAATATCGAATTTTAATATCAGTTTCACCTCTTTAATCCCTGTCAAATGAATATCAGGGTCAAATGGAGTGACTAAAAGTGATCTGACTCTAATATAGGGTTGAATCCAAAGCATACGAAGTCTGTAAAAGATTTCCATTAACTGTACTTGGAACCAGATTGTGTCCTTAGTGATTTAAATTCACAGTCACCATGGATATAGATGATGTCAAAATCTAGTGCAATATACAAATGTTACAGAGAGCATTTCAAATTGCATTTTCTTCATTTATAAATAAAGCTACTTTTTGGTGGTCAGTATTGACATCCTGTGTTTCAAACAAATCCTGTATGATATACCATAAGGTATAATTTTTATAGTAAACTACTTCTTTACACTCTATACACTTTACACTCTGTTGTGTCAGGAGGGTTGAATACACATCTAAATATATACCTCTATGGATCTATGTCCGTTCTACAAATTACAGTGATTGCTGTAAAACGATTGGATGTCTGTATATCAAGAGTAGGGTTTTTATTTGCTCTTTGCATATTCAGGAGGCACAGAAGAACCCAGTAAAGTAGTTTTATTACTCTTTAAAGCTCTCATTATGGAACAAATGAGAGTTAATGAAGGATCAAGAGACAGGTAGTGGTTTTCATCTAGAGAAACAGAGCGATATTTTAGCTCTTAATCTTTAATCTTTAGCTCTCAATTGTAAATTATCATATCCATGCTAATAAGGCTTCTTCTAGGACTGACATTGCATCTTGGACATTTTATCATTGTCAAGTTTAGAACGAAAAAAATGGTTGTTTCCTTGTCTCTACCAGATGATGTTGTCTTAGTTACTGCTCTGGTGGGTAGTTTGAGAATCAGAAGTAGTCGACTTGTGAGAAAATAAGGTGGTTTTAAAAGGTCCGTATTAGTAGACACACTTTATGAAAAAAAATCTCACAGAAGTAATTCTTACAGAGAAGACCAAAGTAGTGATCCCTATTCCATTACAGAATTGGGGTTGGTACAATTGATCAGGAAGAGAGAAAAAAAAAATCTTAAATGTAGAGGAAAAAGTCCCATTTAAGGACTAAAACCTCAAGACAGCATAGTTATGCACACTAGTGGAAAAAAAAATAGGCTTCTTGGTGGTTATGTTCTAAAGGGAATATCAGCTTTGCCTAGTTTAGAGTGCGCGAGGGAGGTAGTTATTTTCACTTGGAACAGTTCTAACTCAATAATATTTTTAGAAACTCCAGTACATGCAGACATTTTAAAGTGGTTACACTTAAGATTGTAGGCTTCTGTAATTTTTAGGAATTGTGATTTTTATTTTAATCCCGGTGATATTCAAGGAAGACATGGCTGTATTTCTTTCTTTTGCAACCCCATCAGCAGTATTTTCTAGAGTGCAAGACACACTGGGATGTTATTGCACCTGTTGAGATGCTTGGATATCGAAAGTTAATCTGGTATAAGTGTGTCTGTGTGTGTTTTCAAAAAGTCAAGATTTAGTAGTCATTACCCTAACTTATGCTACTTAAGAAGCAATTTTTATTTCTTTGTTTTAACTGATAATTTTATAAAAGAACTTAATAATATGAAGATGTTTTGGCCCAGTGACTATAGCACTGAAATTCTAAGCCGTGGTAAGGACAATGGTGTGTTCTCAATATATCATCCTGTGCCAAGCTGTAAGATATTTGCATCAGTGTGTTTTTATATTTGCATCATGTTTGACTGGAACTGCGCAAATGATTGAGGGGTGGGGTTTCTGCATTGACTTTGGTTTTCAGCTGTTTCTGTAACAACTTTGTTATGTAGTTGCATGGTTTTTAAATACTTTTGTATAAAGCATATTTCTGTGATCTTCACTCAGTCCGTCCTCTGTCATTGCAACTATTAAACATCACAGGAATTCTTGCTTGAATAGGATTTGAGGGTCGGTCTCTACACTTTTGTATAATGGTTTAATTATTATACTGAGCAAGGAAATGAATACAGCTTGAAGATCTGTACCATCTACACTCCTTTTAGGCTGCAGTAGATAATATTAGGGATAATAATAGGAAATCTAGCAAGTAAATAAGAAAAAACATATTATGTACAATTGAAATTTATGAACCAGCAAGATAAGTATGCACTGATGGTTTGTAGTGTAGAAATGACCTTTAAGAGCTCATTCATGCAAAACAGGTCTTTCTCCCTGTATCTGCTTCTGTTTAGCTCTTCACAGCACAATTTCTTCTATATATCTTCAACAATGTGGTTTCATTTTTCAGAAGTCCTATAATGAGAATAAGGTTTGTGATAATCAGCAGTCTATTTACATGTAAAGAACATCTGTATAAGTAACTGAACTAGTCTGGTTGTATGTGTTTCCAGTGGCATCTGTTTATGGCAGTAGGCCTTATGCAGTAGCTTTAGAAAAGCAAAAGTGTGACCTGCATTAAGTATTGCTGTACATTAGCTCATGTTAGAAAAAGCTGCATAAGCTTTGTACATAGCTCGTATGCAGGGTGAAGTGGATGCGTGCGTGTGTGCTGCTGTTTCATGAGGGAAAGCTACGTTGAAGACTCTACTGGTACTGAATGGGGATTATTCATATAACATTAATGTGTATAATATATGTATAAGTCTTTAATGGTGTTCACATCATAGAGGAATGAAGTGTTTTGATGTCCAGTGTTTCCTTTTAACAAATAAGAATAAGAATTTTATACAGAAATTCATTATGTTGTCAAATAATACAGTTGAGTTGCAAATATCTTTTTATATTTAAGCAACTTAAGATCCTAAAGAAAAGGAATAGCTAGTGAAAACAATTATGTGTATTTGTACTCGATCATTTAAATGTCATTGCAGTGAGAATACGGCTTGAGTAATGGTAAAAGATCGAACTCTTTCAGTTAAAACCTTTTTTCAGATCCATCAGTATAAAACTTGAGTGGCAGAAGAAAAAGAATAAGTAATTTCAGTTTTAGATTTTAGTCTTTTAGCATTATTTGTTTTGTCTTCATATTTCCAGTTTTATTTTAAAATTATTAGGGAGCGCTGCATATTTTGAGGCAGCTTGTGGAATCTTTACTAATGCTAGAGAGTATTTTTTCTCAGCATTGCTAACTCTTGCAAATGAGTTCAAGACTCATAATCTTTTATGTTTTCCTTAAAGACTGATTTTCAGTAGTCCTGTGGTTATTGAGTATTATAGATTTCAGTTAATAGAAAATACATTTGTAACACTGATTATTGCAGAAAAGGCTTCATAGTCTAAACCAGGGATATGTGATGCAGGAGTGAGTGTGATACTTAAAGCAATTTTAACATTTTTGTGTCATTCATAAATTTGGGTATGACAATACTGCTCAAGCGGAATACTTAGAGAGTCCACAATCTGGTTCTCAGTAACTTCATTGTTCTTGTTAATTTTAAAGAAAAAGTCATAGGCTTTATTATTTGTCATGGTTTATCATTTTAATTTCTGACATTACTTTTACATATGCTGGAGTACTGCCTACTGTACATGCCATTCTCACGTGTAACACATTTCTTTATCTAACTTTAAATTTGCTGATTTCTTTTTCTGTTTCCATCATTCCGTGCATTTAATTCATTGAAGAGCAAGAGACTTTTAACTCTTCCACAAAAGGTAAATATTTCTGTAATTTTTTACAAATGTTTGGCAACTGTTAATACTGGCTTTTCCCTCAATATATTCCATGTCAGTATACAGAATTTAGTTAACTGTTTAGCAGGCAAGAAGGTTGTTTCTCAAATATCTACATGCTATCTGATGTCCCTTTTTAGAATCTGGAAATGATTTCTCTTGTGATTTCTAATTTTCCTACTGAAATGCCATATACTGGATTTAACAGGAGTACTCATGATATTTTACATGGCTCAGAAGCTGCTTGATTGAGTTAAAGTTCATGCAAAGACTAAGATTTTACCGAAGCTCTTCTTGAGCTCTGCACAACATCTGTTTCTAATGATGCAGCCATGGCATCTGTGAAGCATGTTTCGTAGGTCTGGGCTTAGAAATGGTTGAAGGTCATGATGACAAGAATCTGTCCTTTGTATGCAGAGAAATTCTGAAGAATGATCTGTTTTATTTGCATGACAAGCCCTTGTCACTCAGAAAGTTAGCCATGTTGTAGAGCACATACAGTGCTCACCTCCTGTGAATTCTCTGTCTGTGCTGATACCAGTGAATCAGTGAGCTCAAACAACAGGTATCTAAAGCTGTCCCACAAAGTGAAAAGTGTAGTCTGCTGTGTCACTATTGAGGCAATGTTGCAGAGAAGTCCTATTTTTTTTCTTTTTGCTAAAAGTAGGAGTTACCTCAAAATCAAAAGGAAGGTTGGAGAGAAAAAATTTTAAAAAATAATCCGGTTTAATGGTAACAGCAAAATACTATGCTGCATAAACATTAATATCATAAATTAACCTTTTATGACTGTTAGTCCTGAGTCCTGCAGATCTTGGGAAATTCTGATTTGAATACAGGCTTTGGTGGGTGAAAGCCAAACTGTGAGTTGAACTTGAATCAGAGTATCTCCTACAACTACTTTACTTTCTGAAAGAGTGAATCCCACTGACACATTCATACTTACTTAGGTAAAAATACAGCAACTGTTCCACTAGCTACAAAGTCCAACACCTATGCCAATACTCAGGAGTATGTGTTCATGATACTGTTAAGAAAAAATGAAAAAGAAATAATATATAACTTAGGTGTTAGCAATTGCAAGTTATTTTGCAATGTTAAGAATATGCTATGAAATGTCTTAAGAAAGTTATAAGAATGATTGAATTTATAAATTATGTCATTTTTGCTTTCTTCAGTATTTATATTTCTCTCAGAACTGTACAAATCAATTATGCCAGTTTGTTGTTTATGCCTCTTTCAAGTTCACAAACCTTTCCCTGTGATGTGGACTGCATTGGATGTTTCTTTGTTTAAAACAATTGGCTTTACGCAGGCAAACTAGACCATGCCTGTAACAGGTTTGTAGAAGAGCTTGTTTCCACAAGATTCGAATGAATCTGGCCCAAGATTTGGGAGTGTGTAGAAGGTGGTGGCATCTTTATTTGCACAGATTTCTCTGGCTCAAGGGATCTATATGCACATGCAGCCCAGAGGCACAAAAGAGCTGGGCAAAAGGAGCGGAGAGAAGTGGAGTGCTGGCAGTTCTGGGGGGACCGTGAATAACTTAAGTTGGGCTGTCTTACACTAGTTGCCCACTGTCACCTCTGACTTTCCCCAGTGCAGAGTAAGAGATAAAAAGAATAGACAGTAGGTGAATGGGAGATGGGTATGGGGGTGTTACAGGACATTGCATGGCAAGAGACGTAGGTATGAAGGAAAGCATATACTACAAATGTGAGCAACACTGGCTAGATAAATCTGCAACAAAAAAATCAAGCGTCTGTTCCACTAAATTAATGGGAAAGGTTGTGATAAAGTCTTCAGCAGATTACAAAAATGCTGACTTGGATCGCTGCCAAAACCAGTAGTTTACTTTTTTCAAATTTTAAGAATTATATGTTTGTTTTCTTGATGATTTCTTTTAAATAGAAGCTTCTGTTTGGATCATCCTTGAAACTTTGAGGAAGAACTGAGTGTTGCATCAGCCAGTTCAGATTTTTATATTGTCTTGTCTTTCTTCTGGAGTGAGTTGTTAAAGTCAAGATGGCCACTGTGCCTCTGTGTGTACTGGGAGATCCAAACTCATTTCCCAACTTGGCAGACTGAGCATGTGCTTTGGTCATGCCTCAGTTCTGGATTGGTTGGAAGTCCAGAGCAGTATCAGCTCCCATGGAAAGGAAACCCCTCCACATAAGCTTAAAGGAGCCACAGCATGTTCTAGTCAGGTGCAGGAACCAGGACTGTAGTGCAGGCTTCAGAGCCCATTTGCCTCACTATCTGCATGTTGCCAATAAATACTTTTTGAACTCATATATGCAGAGAAGTGGTAACAAGTTTTTTATCTTAACAACAAATTGATTTTTCAGTGTTACTAACCTTATATTTCAAAACATTAACCTGCTTGTGATTTAAAAATTTTGTGTGTTCTCTAAATTTCATGATAGAGTTTACTGTGGATTTTTAAAGTCATGAAACCTACCAAAAAGATACTTTGTGTGTGCATATTGCAAAACTCATCCTGAAGGCTGAAGAGAAATAACCCAGAGACTCTCTGTATTATTTCTGAAGCACTTCATCCTGGTTCAACACCAGTGTGAGTTCTCTCTGCTGTGCCACACAGCCAGCTCTCCAGTGAGTGCTCCCCTCCCTCTTCGCTTCCCTCACCCACTGCACTAGGGGATTCTACCATCCAAATCTCACCACTGCTTTATTTCCCTGCCTTTGTTCTGGACACTGCTTCTGCCTAGTATCGTCTTCACCTTCCTCTTCTCACTTCCTCAAACCAGATACTGTTTTTCCCCCCCTGGTTCCCATCCACAGAGCATCTAAGTAGCACAGGCAGACGAAGCTCCTGGCTTTTGCTGTGTAGAAAGGCTAAGTGTACATGCCTCTAGACTACATTATAGCTGTAGCTGTTCATCATTGTTCAACTTTTCTTTTTAGTATGAAGACTGAGAGTGAAGAACAGATCAGATCTCTGCTGACTTCTGGGATAAGTGCAGTTCTCTGTTGCCCTGCCAGAACCTGTTGTGTGTGCCCAGAAACACTGTTACTATAAAATAGTTGTTATGACAAAAAATTTTCACCTCAACTTACTTTTCAGTAGCCTCCTTGTGTAAGCAAATCTTTCTGTCATTCTTAGATTTCTAAACTTTTTCCCTTCAAATTTGCATCATAAAGGATGTGTGATATCTGCTGGTAAGAGTTACCCCTATCTGAATGCTTGATGCCAATTTCTTCTTGTTAGATAGCTTACTCCTACATTTAATAGTGCAGGTAGGTAGGGCTTGGAGGGTTTCCAAATTGTACTGTTTGCCTACACCTCCTTTCTGTCTTGACCATCTTGAACAGAAACATGAAGTTCCTCAAGAGCAAATTCTATTTGTTGCAGACAAACCGTTATAGAAAATGGTGTAGCCAGTGCTAAGACATCCATAGGTTTTCTACAGTCTAGGAAAAAACAATATAGTTGTCAGTTTTCATCACAGACCAGGTAATGTCACCAGTCATTCTGGCATTAAGCCCATACTTGGGTTTGAGCAAGAATGTTCTTTCAGAAAGCATTTTCACACAATGACTGCAAGCAGTGGAAAAAATGTTCCAGTCCTTAATGACCTGACTTTTTAAACATATGTCTTATTACTTATTTGACTTTACCTAACTTCATAGCTATTAGGCATTATTGTACCTGTATCTGCTAAATTGAAGAGCCTTCTATTGTTAGAAGTCTTCCCACATGTTAATAATTAAGGACCCCAATTAAACTACATATCCCATTTCTTTTTAATAATTTCCTAAATCTGTTATTGCAAGACCACGTCCTGGACTTCATATAATTGTCTTTACTTCTCTCTAAATCTTTCTTGCTAACAGTATGCTTGGAATGATAGTCTTCCTAAAATATCAGAATCCATTGACCTTAGATAAATTGAGTATCTTCCAGTTTCCATGTTTATTTTTGATGTCCTGAAACTCCAGATCTCAGTATGACATTTAAGAATTTGTTGTTCTTTTTGTAAGCATAAAGGCTTATTTTCATATACCTTGCCAAAATTTCCCTTCTTTCTTTCTTTATTATTTTCTAGATAGCAACAAGTCTCCACTTCAGAGGTAGTGATATTTTGATAGAGATACATGTGTAGCATGTACAGCAGTTCAATTTTGGGTATAAGGTGGTTTTCCTTGGAATTTGGTGATGGTCACACTGCTACACAGGAGGTAGTTTCAGTGCTATAACAATTCTAATCCCTTTTCAAATGTACGAGTGGGCTCTGTATAGATGTTATTTATTGACAAGATTCACAACTTTGAAAAGTCTACAGAATGTAGAGTCTCTGATGATTGCTGTAATGTGAAGGAGATGGATATCTAAACACTTAATATCAGGAATTAAAAACTATATCTAGAAAGACAGCTATAGCATTTTTGGTGTTCCTTGCTAGTTCAGTATTGCTGCCTGTGGTGTAATCCTTATTTAAAGGAGACCACATATGTTTCATACATTATGCTATCTGCTTAATAGATAGGTGTTTATAGCATCATGCTGTTTAATAAATTTTGCAAATAATGTAAAGTTTTGTCCCCCTTTCAAACCTTAAATAGGAACTTAAAAGGTTAAAATTAACTTGGTTTCCTTTGTACTGGTCGCTACTGTTAGTAGAGCTTTTGTAGCTTTTACTGATTTTCATAAGATTGGTCTGTTGTTAATCCCAATGCAGGCTGAATTTATTTTAATGTCACATTTGGTGCATTGTTAGATTCACATTCTGTGGATAACAGAAATATGCCATGCGATACATTCTGTCTATCTACTAAAGTATTTTTTTAAAAAAAAAAAAAAAAAAAAAAGGGAGAGAGAAAAAAACTTTATCTGCCCTACTATATTTGATACGTTAGTAAGGTAGGTTGCTTGTGGTTCTGTTATTCTGTACTTAACTGTAAAGGTAGCATATATTCTGAACAGTTAGTATTCTAGCCAGGTCTAACTTCTCTATCAGTTAAACAGCAGATAAGGGTTGAAGTATGCCCATACTAGTTTTCTGAGGATAGAAATAAAAATGAGGGCTGTCAACTAGTTAATGCCATAACATGTAGCGCTATAAACCTTACCGTGGTGCTGGCATATGAAAAGGACTATAATACACAGATTCTTAGTAAACAGATAATGTCTTAGAAAAATTAAGAAATCGCGGACTGCTTTAAGAAAAAACAACTGTTAGCCTGTCTTAATTTTCTTTCAGGGGAGTTTGCAGGCTCAAAATCAGATCTGTAGTTATTTTCCTCAGTTTATTCCCTACCTCCTTTAAGTAGCATATTATGGATTTGCATATTTTAGACAATCGAAGGACAGCATGTATTTTGTAGGCTGTTAATAAAAAAAAGCCAAACCAACACTTTCCTTATGATGGAAACATGTAGCACGAACTGCCTTTAATGTTAATCAAAACTTCTTTTATCACAAAAAATGCAAAGAAGTTTTGGAATTACTTTATGAGTGAAGAACCTAACTCTTCCATTTTATGTATATGTTAAATTGTTCTTTTATTAATATCATGATCACCTCTGCAAAGATTGATAACTCAGATGTTTAGTCATACTTCCAGCATGTAGTGTATTTAGAATCCTGTAAGATCTGTTACGAATTACAGTACAGGGTTCACAGTATTCACAAGGATGTTCCTTGAGGAGGAGACCCAGGAGGAGCTAATGGACCTGCTACCCTATGGGATGGGAGATAGTCTTAATCTTAGTAGACCATGTCTTCTTCCTTTGAATCCCATTCACAGTGGAAGCTGGATGGGACTTAGCAGTGAGTTGAATAATAAACTATAGCTGAGGGAACTTATGTTTGTTTGGTGGAAGACCGTTCAGAACTACATTGGACAGTTAATTCTTGGTAGCTTGGTGTGGTGGATTGGCCCAAGCCAACAATTAAGCACCCACCAACTGCTTTCTCACCCCATTCCCCATGGTGGGATGGGAAAGAGAACTGGAAGAGCAATAGTGAGTAAAAATTTATGGGCTAAGAAAAAGACAGTTTAATAAGTGAAGGGAAAAAATCAAGAAAATTAAAAAAACCCACAAACTCCAGCACCAAATGACGCAAAGGCAAACACACACCACCTCTCACCAGCAGACCAATGCCCAGCCAGTGTCTGAGCAACAGCTACCTTGGAAAGACTACTGCCCCAGTTTTATTGATGAGGATGATGCTGTATGCTATGGAATGTCCCTTTGGTCAGTTGGGGTCAGTTGTCCCAGCTGTTTTCCCTCCCAATCTCCAGACTTGCTGCTGAGGGCGTGGGGAGCAACATGAGAAACAGAGGCAGCCTTGGCCCTGTGCAAGCACTGCTCAGCAATTGCTAAAACATCAGTGTGTTATCAACACTGTTTTAGTCACAAATCTAAAATTCAGCACCACATGGGCTGCTGTGAAGAAAACTACCTCCACTGCAGTCAGACCCAGTACATCTGGGACTACGGGAGTCAGACTGGTTTATAAATATATTAATGGAATTGAAGTATAACATTTTGATTCCATTCGTATGTCTGTCTTTCTCTTGCATGGCTTGATTGTTTATGTACATCATTGTTATACAACCTTCACCTGGTTTAGTAGTAGAAAAAGCTTTAGCTCTAAACTTGCACCTCTCATCTAAGCAGTCTGCTCAATGAGTTCTCTTCTTTCAATTACTTCTTATACTGATTGATTTCACATCTGAATCAGCAGCTCTTGAAGTGTTGAGCATTATAGCTCTCTGAAGCGTGACTTCTGACACCAGAGTATTATGCCGACACAACTGAGACTGATGGTAGTTGTACCACTAGTCTGAGACACCGATGGTAAATCTCCATATTTTGAATTCTAGGGCCACTGTAGGATTTAAAGGTCTTGTGATTACAGTTCTTCAATCTGTAAATTACTGTATAGTCCTACCTCTCAAGAGCTTTGGGAGAAGCACTATCTAAATACCGATGTTCAAAAAGTAGATCCATATTTTTCTAAGAGGCAAGTTAAGTTCATGAAGTATTGTTTATGTCAAATTTTTGTTACCTGTGGTAACCAACTGTGTTCCAAGAAAGTAATGTGATTGTATGGTGGTGTTACCTATGGTTGTTACAGCTTCTGCTAATGTGCTTTTGCTCCTGTGTTAGATTTTTTTCTGCTTCTTGTGATTAACATGTGAAGAGTATACCGGGATACTTATCAGGCAGATTAAATTTTTGATCCCAGAACTGAGTTAGATACAACATATGCTCAGATGTGCATGGTAAACAAAGCTGGAAAGAACACAGTTCTTTATTTTCTAGAACAGACTTACATTTCACACAGTTGCTTGCTTAGAAATACATTAAGCAGCTAATTGTGCTAAATTAGGTTTTACTCCATGCACAAACCCAAATTTCTCCATTAGAGAATTTAGATTTACTTCACAGTCCTCATTAATGGTTCTCATGTTATTTTATATCATGATATCTAATAATGAAAAACAGAACATAAGCATGTTGATAAGGTTAAGGATTTAAACATAAAAAAAATCAGGGACTACAGAGTTAAGGTTAAATATTTACCCAAGCTTGACTGCAGTAATTTTCATGTATAGTCACTGAAATAGCATGTCATTATATAATAGAATATTATCTCTCAGCTATCTTAAGCAATAGAGAATAACAGTATATCATAAATTTAGTATAAAGTACAGTTGACAGGGTGAATCACCTAAAAGTCACACAATTAAAGGGTTATTTTTTAGAGTAACTTTCATCTGTTCACCATACACATATACGGCTAAATTTTTAAAGGGGTCTCAATTTCCTTCTGATTTTATCTCCTCAGTCTATTTCATGCATGTATGATAGGATTAAGATATCTCAGTTTTTCACTTTGGTCACTAATTGATATATCTTAATCCTTTCATATCTCTCCTTAAAATATGAGGCCATCTTTAAAAATTTCACCTAAAGTGCTCAATTTTGCCTTCAGATACCTCCATGCAACTTCCATTGAAGTAATTGGAGCTGTGCCTGCATATCTGATGGTGGAACTGGACTCATTGCAATTAAGGTACACATTTACTGACATAATTAGTCATCTGCAGTAATCACTGGGCCCAGTGTGACATTCTGCATGTGCAGAATTTCCTAGATTGGACCCTCTGCGTGTGGGAGATTGAAGTTAACAATGATAACTTTATTTCATGCCTTAAATTTGTAGCTGTAGCAGAATTTTAATGTGATTTGCTATATTTAATTTTCCTGGTTTTAAATAAGAAATGTGGAAGGAGGACATGAAAACAACATATTTTTTACAGTGATGTCGTCATATATTTTTTCATACCCAACCAGCACACAGGCATTCCGTCATTTCTACAAGCACATTACAGATGGTATGTGCATGCACAATCATTTGTGCAATAGCACACAGTTTAAAATAGCCAACCTTGAGTGTACTGCTTTTTTTTTTTTTTTGTATCTTTCTTCTTGCAAAGCACAGACAAAAAATAGATGTGTAAAGAATCCAACAGTTAACTAACAGCATAAAACCCACATATGAGAAATTTGATACCTCTTAATTCACAATACACATCTTCAAACAACATATTTTCCACTAATTCAAAATGCTGTGTTTTGTGATTGAAAATTGATTCCATGCAGCTCTTAAATTGGTGTCTCTCTCCTGTCACTTGTCTGGGGAGAGGCTCTTTACAAATCTTGACTTTTAAAGCTAATCATTTTGTAGAGAGTCATATAAATCCATGGTTGACCCAAAAGCAGATTTTGAGGAGGTTTTCCGAAATAAAATGCCAGTTTTGAATTTGTGACCACAGAAAAAATTCCAACTCAAAGAAGTTGTTGTGGGGTGTTAGAACCTGTTAAAACACAATGAACATAGTGACTACTCCTGTGATTTAGAATAGTTACTGATAAATATTTGGGTCTAGTTCTAGAAATGTTAAAAAGTGCCAGTTTTCAAAGTATCGGTTTTATTGGTATTGCTTTTCATTTATAGTGCTACCAAGTTTAGTTCTCTCTGAAAATGTTCCACTACAACAAAGGTTAACATATTTTAAGGAAGCCTTAGCTCTGGGGCTTTCACACAACTATTTCCATTAGTGCAACGTCATCTTCCTGTGGCAAGCACAGCCAATATTAATTTCCATAACTTGTTCAAATTGAAGATACTCTTTATAGAACCACATCTTCTTGAAGGTTTAAGATGTGATTTCTTTTTTAAAACAAACAGTGTCATAGGGAAATTGAAAACACAAGAACACATAATTTCTATGAAATAGACGTGAATATTAAAGAGCAAGGTAGTGCTTTTAAAGGACTTTTTGTAAAAAGAAAATATTGCTAGAAAATTAACATATTTTTTACTGTGACTGGTTGAATTGAGAAATTATTCCTCTCAAATAAACTTCAGCTATGGTAAGCAGTTATGTTTTAAGATAGCAGTAGGAGTTAATTACTTTAAAAATAGATTTTAATACTTGTTTACTGCATTAATTCTTAAAATGCTACTGTAATATTTTTCTACATTTAAGCAAATGCATGGTTAGATGATCATGGATTTGTGTCCCCTGCATCCAGAATACTTAACAGGTTTATAATTCAGCCTGTCACTTAAATTCTTTCACTCTTTTCATATCTGTTGCACCAGCTTGATTATGTATAGGAAATCGGGATGTCTGCCTATTTTCAGGTAAAGACTCTCACAATGGAAGCGGTTGATTTCTTGACATCAGTGTTCCTTTGTTCTGTGTTTACACCCTGCTTGTTCTACATGTTTGTACATTTCTTTGTTTTGTTGAGGTGGAAATAAGCTAAAATTGTTGCTAAACCATTTGTTTTTCCAAAAAGTTTTGGCTATTTTTAATTGATTTTCATTGTGTGTTTTTGCAGCAAGCTTAGTAGTGGAGGAACGAACAAGACAGATGAAAATGAAAGTGCACCGTTATAATCAGACATCAGGGTCTGGTTCTAGCCAAGAACATGAGCGTGAGCAATATACCAAGGTAAAGTCAGTAGTATTGAAATGATACTTTGACTTGAAAATTGAAGGCATAAACCTGTGTATTTAAAATATTATATAACCTTCAGGAACACTGTTACAAAGCTTGACAGAAATGTCTTCGAGTAATAGCTTTTTAAGATCATTTTTACCTCCATTTGAAGTCCCTTAGACTTAGTCTTTGATGTCGTCTGAAATGAAACTGCAACAAACAGAACACTTCAAAACTGATTCAGGGAAGAAAAATCCTTCAAGAGCTGTTAAACAAAGTCACGTCACCTTTAGCTTAGGAAGTCCCTGGCCTGCAAACCCCAGGGGGCTGGGGAGGTGGGCCATGGAAGTATCATGGTATATTGGCCCTACTCTTTTGTTCTTCTCTAGGCCCTTGCTGTTGTCTGACATGTAGAGTGCTAGACAGAATTAAATCCAATCCCATGCAGCTGTTCTCGTATTTGTATCCTTTTTTTTTCATCCTAATAATGACACAGATAAAGTATTTCCTTCCCTCGAATACATACTGATTACTTTGATCTTCTTTTCTAATAAAAGCATAAAGATTTCCTCTGATAATTTAGTGTACATAAAATTACATTAATGAAGTTATATAGAGGGACTTTCAATTTTTTTCTTGATCATGCTAAAATGATATCCCACAACCTTGTAAGTTCAAAACTGTATAGGCTTCTGAGCAGACTTCTGAAAACATCTTGCACATTTGCACTGCCACTTACAAATCAAGCTGTGAGGGGCTGGAGCTGAACTTCCTGCTAAAGGCATTTTGCCTTGTGGTGCCTAAAGGAGGGGGAACATTTGCAGAAGTCAGGAGGGGAAATGTTTAGCTAGATTCTGTGTTTCCTTTTAGAAGGACCACCACTTGTGTTGGTGTAGGCAAAGTAAAGTGCAGAGACAAAACCAGTGGTAACTCAGCTGTGGGGAAAGCATTCCCGCAATTCTCTTCTTCAAGTGCCATTGAGAGTTATGTGCTTTCAGTGAGTGACCATGGGACAACAGTATGAATGTAGAAGTCCACTCTAAAAAAACTCAAAGATGCACATAGCAACTGTGTGTGTTAAAAAAAACATATCAGAAAAAAACAGTAGTTGAAAGAAAATCACGGTTTTTATTAATTTAGACTTCTGTGCTTCAAGAGCCACGTTTCAAAGACTTTCTTCACATCAATAAGAACTAAATGCCTATATTTTTATTACTGTGTTTTAAAGGAGACAAACTTTAAATTTGTGAACTGTTGCTATAGAGAAAACAACAAACATTTTCAAGCTCTAAACAGCTTCAGACAACAGAATGCTGCTGGTGTTTATTGCTGTAGCACAGGCACTGGGTTTTCTGTTGCCAGTTAAATATGGAGGCAACTTTAATAAGGATGTTTCTTTTTTGAGACCACCTCACCGTGACCACAGAACTTAAATGAAACAGTTCTCAAAGGGAAGAGAAATAAGCGAAACAAGGCTTTAGGTCCTCAATTGCCAAATTGTGGGATATCAGTGCGATTGAAAATAAAGCAACAGTTAGGATGGAAATTTCCAATGAGATCATCTGTCAGAAGCCAGAATTCATATAATAATTAGAACAGCTCATTTGATATTGGGTTTGCCGTTACCTTCACAAGAGGTCAACTCAGTACAAGAGGGTGAGATGCAGTGTGTCTCTGCAGTACTTCCAAGCCAGTTAACATGTTAAAAAAATAGTAAAAATGGGTTTGATAAAGTTTGCAGGAGAGAAGGGTAATGTGCAATCTGAGGCCTTTGGCCAAGATGACCAAACATAGTCAAATGCCAGTTTTCTGATTTGGATTCACTGTGCTGACTGATTGATTCAAATGTTCATATTTTTCATTATGAAGCATATTTTTTTTAATCCTAACTCTCTTTAATATTTATCATAACCATTATTTTTGCTCCTCAATGTATTTTTCTTATTGGGTTAATGTAGATCCAATGTATGGTTAGGTAGTTGTTGGAAAACATCAACCTGCAATGTTACAAATTTCTGTTACCTCTAGTACCTAGAGTTTTCTAGTATCATCTTTAGTTTCTAAATATATGGGGAAATTAAATCAGAGTTGAAACCACAATGTGATGGATACTAAATAGAAAGAACTGTTGAAAATTGTTTGGCTTTTGTTTTTGTTTTTGTTTTTTTTAAAGGTACAACCACAAATTTGAGGAAGCAAATTCTCTGTCCGCTGTTACAAGAAAAATTTTTGGGGAGTACTCAGTGTTCTGACAGACATATACTCCTTTCCATGCTAAAACAGTAGTAAGGAAAATGAATTAATTGTGCTGGACTTTAAATCCAAAAATCTTTAATTTTTCATGTATTTTCTACATGATAATGGTATAGTCCTACATAGGATAGCAGTGATGTAGCTGTTTGCTTCATATCACTATGGTGATAGTCATCACTTTAAAAATGTTACTAAAGCAAACCTTGTGCTACTCTCTTTCTTTACCCTCAGAAGATGCTGAAAGGGTCAAGAAAATAAATCAGACAGGGGAAGAGTTAGACAGCTCTAATGAAAAGGTAGTAAGTCATATCAGTTGGTGCAGTAAAGCTGATGACTGACACTTCTAAGTATTTAAGACTATACCTAATTTCTGCTGCTAAAATCTGTGGAAAGTCTTTGAAAGCTGCAGGAGCAAGACTTACTTAAAATAAAAAAGAAAAAAGTGTTCAGTGGTCTAATAGACATTCTGTAATAGTGAGAAAGAAATATTAAATGACAGTTAAATGGCAGTTGCAAGCAGAGTTTGTCCCTCTTTAACAGAAATTCTTCTTTCCCAAGTAGCAGTGTTTGCCCACTGCTTCAGATTTACTAGAGAAATTATGCTGTGTTGCATATTGAGAAACGATTCCCTTCTGCTTCTCAGAGCAATCAGCTCACATGGATTTGATCTTCTACCATTTAAGCATTTGCAAATATGCTTGGTTTATTACATATAAAATTCTCTAAACTTTTCAAAAATTTTCCTTCAGTATGGGCTGGATCTCGTTTGCAATAGTTATTTATATGTATGCAAAATGAATTCCTTAAATGTAAGTACATTTTCTCTTATATTGAAACAAACCATTTTTCCAGAGGTATCATAACATGGTCTTTGCAATTTCCAGTTCATTCCTGGTGCATTTCTTCCATTTTTGTAATTTCTCCCGCTCAGTTTCTCAATCTTCTAGTCTCAGTGAGGAAGCATTAATTTTTCAAACATGCACCATGCAAGTTAGTGTATAAACATTTTTAAACATCTGTGTTTTAACCATCCATTAATGGATTTTGAATAGGTAACTGTCTGCTCTACAACATTTGTATAGGTCTTGAAGTTCCACTTTAATTGTTTTGAGACCTGTACAGAGCTCACATCCTTATTTCCTTCAGTTCCAGTGGAAAGACTCCAGAATTTGTGAAACAATTAAATTCTAAAAAACTAAAATAAATTAAAAAAAAAAAAAAAAAAAAAAAAAAAAAAAAAAAAAAAACACCATCCTCTGTGGATTTGGCAAAAGGGTTTAAAGAGCAGCTTTATAAACATCTGTCTGCCTTCTTTCTTATATATTGGTAAGGCTGTACTGGCTAAATACACGTATTTGTGCTGTTCCAGTGTTTGAGAGAATCAGAACACTTCAGTAGCATAATTCTGGATTTGCATTGATATAAATGACAGTATATCTTAATTAGACTTTTAATTCAAAATACAGTAAGTTTTTTTATTCCAGATGCTACACACAGAACACAAACACCATGCTGCAGCTGTTCCAGCTTTCCAGAGAATGTGCAACACATTCTTTTAGAAGGTCTGTTTATTCAAGAGTTACTGTTCAGAGCACTGTAGTACGTACTTAAAAGGACATCAGTCTATATTTAGATGAACTACCATGTGATTGGTCAGCATTTAGCATAAAAGCGTGAAAGTGGCATTAGTTTGGTGGCACTCTGGATTTAACTTGATATTTCATGTCTACAAGGAAGGGCTCAGTGAAAGAGACTCGGTCAGGATGACAGGAGGCTGATTATTTTAAGTTTTACAGGATGCTGGGCAAGGCACTTAAAGCCATGTATAGCAAATGCTCTTGGAGATTGAGGTGATGAGTATCTTCTTTCAATCTCCCTTCATCCACCTTCAAGAAAAAATAATTTACTATATGTCATACTTATATGACTCACTGCAGTACTGGTAGGGTTTCACAAATTTCGGTGAGGTCCATTCATTCAACTTGTGGGATTCACTGCCATTTTGACGTGGTTTGACTTGCTCATTTTCCCTGTTCAAGAAAAAATAATTTACTATATGTCATACTTATATGACTCACTGCAGTACTGGTAGGGTTTCACAAATTTCGGTGAGGTCCATTCATTCAACTTGTGGGATTCACTGCCATTTTGACGTGGTTTGACTTGCTCATTTTTCCTGTTCCCTGTTCAGAAGTTGAGTGGTGTTCCCAGTAGTTGAGTTGGATACAGTTATGGGAAGAGTTACATAGACTGGGCTCCAAACCATCAGGTGAGCTGCTCCTAATTCACAGACCCAGATGCTGGTAGGAGTCAGAGGTGAGGCCTAGACACACCAAGGTGCCAACTACTGGGATGTGAACCCCAGCAGCATTCTGAGGAACCTGTGTGAGCAGTCATGAAACTCAAGGTGCTTTGTACATGATTCAGCATTTCCTGACAAAATTCCTTTTTAAAAGTGCCTCAAAAGGTAGCTGTGGTCTCAAAACTTGCATAAGCCCCTGGGTGAATCTAACCCTTAACCTTTTCTGGTCTGGATTTCTCTTTCCTCGTTTTAATTTCCTCATTTTAACCTGCATTTAATTTTCTCATTTAATTGCCTCATTTGAAGCACTTAATGGGGCACATATTTTCAGAGGTTAGTAAACTGAGGCTTTTTTTGTACTCAAAGGAGGGGATACTCCTTCAGTTTTCAAAGCTCTGAACTACTGTATTCTCCATGGTTTTGGGAGATAAATCTATAAATATAAATAATTATTCATATAGAAAATAAGATAATTATAATAGAATAGTAAATGACTTCAAAAATATGCCTTGTAATCAGTAAAATTCCTAACATTGTTAGTCATTGAGGAACTGTAAAAGTATTCATGAAGTATACTCTTGGTTTATGTCTGTGCTCTTTCCATTGACGTTAACACATCTGCAGTTTATCATACCCCTTTTTTCTCCTTTTGCTGGCATAGAAGCAGCAGATCCACAGTTGGCAAAGTGAATGGAAGAACTACATTTCAGCTGTTTGTATTTCAGATTGAAAAAACTTCTGTCTTTGTAATGCAGAAGCACACAGTGCAGATAGTTTGGGCATTTGAATCTAGGTACTATTAATATCTAAAAAAACAGACCTATTCTTTAGTAATTACTAGCAAAGTTTCTGCAAAATTCAGCAAGTCTTCTATTTTGATAAATGATGCACCGTGAAATACAAATGTTACATAAGCTTTAAGTCTGTAAAATACATAGTTGAAAGAGAAGTGATTGTAGTGAAAATTCATGTTCTTTTGAAGCTTAAAAATTATATAATATTTAAATATAATATGAGAAGGAAACTTATTACAAATACGTGCAGAGTTATGAAGGGCTGTAGTTTTCTAGGTGAGCAGGACTGTATCATGTTACTTTTGAGCCCAGTTGGAAACCTGCAGGCATTACTTTAATGCAGATACCAAATAAGTGGATTTTAGCCCATGTCATTTTTCTTCTGAACGATAAGTTCAGGTGTATTGAAACAATAAAACATTTTTTTAATGATCACTGCTTTGTGGAAGAATACTATTTACTTCTGTCTATATTTGAGGGAAAAAGAGGTTAGCTTCAAAATTGATTTAATTTTGTTCATCTGTTAGCTGAGATGACTGATAATGAGATTGTACTGAAAAGGGGTAGGTAGGGAAAAAGTAGAAGTTGTATGCTTCCTGTAGAGGACAATGAATTCAGTAGAAGCAGCAGCTATAGAAAGAAGAGCTAAATCCAGAAGAAGTAGTAGTAAAATATAAATGCTGTAGCACACAGCATTAACTTTCAGCATCACCACTTTTTGTGTGTGATTTCTGTGAAGGGAAGCATTTTAAGTTTCTTGGGAATTACAGACCTGGCATACAGTGTAAAGGGGTAGTAAAGATTCAACCATGCAATGAAAATCTCATTTAGGAAGGGATGCTCTATGTTTCATGCAGTAGCTCTGTGACTGGAATACCAAAGCAAGTAGAAGACATGGATTCAGTTTTTTCTTTATCTGCTATCTCACCATACAATTCTGTTTACCAACTTATGAAAGACTGGCTGTTAAGCCAGTCTGATATTTACAAAGCACTTCCATTTTGTACAGACTGCTGGACTATAGGGAGCAAGACAGAGTGAGGATATCTACATAGCCCACACGTACATGAACTGACGACAGTGTGGCAATAAATGGTTTCATATTGATAATGAACAGTCATTCATTGAGGCTGAGTCCCTAAAGAGTCAATGATATACAAGTTGGGACTTCTGGCTTCTCTCCCAGTAACCTAACCAGTAAGGTGGACAACCATGCTTGATGCTTTCTCTCCCCCTCCTACCCATCCTCCCCAGCACATGTAGGTAGCCCATGAAAGGTGGAACAAATTCAGTACGAGTGAAACAGAGGGTCTTCTGCTGCCCCACATGGCATATATAGTCCACTATGTTCAACTTTGTTATTTTGCTGTTGACTAATAAATTCAGTGCTAAACAAAGAGCCAGATTCAGATGTGGCTTGGGACAAAGGCCAGCAGCCTATACCTCCCTCAGCACTTAAGAAAGGCTTCCATCAGGACAAAGGAACTCACTTTGTCTGGCCTTGATGTTTCCCTTGATGGGAGGGCTCAGATAGTGTCAGCCTTCTACAGCAGCACATCATGCTTGCTCAGGGACCACATGCATCTTCTACCATTCCAGATTCACTGTAGGCACGCTCAAACCAAGGGCCACCAAGAGAATGTAGACTTTTTGGTAAGGAAGAAAAGTGACTAAACATCATAATGATGGAATCAGATTGTCTTCAGCAAATAACAAAACATGGAGATATTTCTGAGACACTGTTACAATGCATAAAAACCCCCATGTATTTGAGAGAGATTGCATGGTTTTATTTTAAACAAAGTATTTTTAAAGCCTCACCTATGGGGGAATAATTTCTAGATATGGTCTAAATATATAGAAAGGATGAAATCCCTATTTTGCTGAAATCAACCGAGATTTTATTATTTAACAGGATCATGATTTCTTTTGCAGGTTGCAAGTCTATTTAGCTCAGTGGAAAGCCAGAACATTCCATGTGTTCAGATGCATTTCATATTTCTAGATGACTCGTTTTAGAAAAGCTTAAAGGATTCATTAGGAAATCTGTAGGAATTTTGCATAAAATATCAAGGCTGACTCAGGAGTGGGGCAGTTTAATTTAAACTGGAAAAAAATTAACCATTCACTTTTCCAGCCTCTGAACATTTATGTTTAGCTTCATAGCTTTTATTCTTACTTTGATTTTTTTTTAGACTTTAGATGAAAAATATGTCATCTAAAGAAATTTAAATGTTCCATTAGTATGAAATAGAGCTGATAAGAATTAGCATGCTTTGTATTTCCATTCTGAAGAGGTTTATTTTGCAGACTGAAAGAGGGCAAGAGCAAAATTATTTAACAGACTCTACAATTCATTTCCAAAAGGAGATCTGAATAAACATACCAGCATAGTCTCACCTTAACTCCATTGGTCATTTATACTCAGATAAGTCACACCAAGTCACTTGGAAAGAGAATCTCCAAGTAAATCCTTGATGTAGTTTAAAATATTTTTAAATATTAGCGTTCTTGAGTCCTCTGTGTTACCTGCTTTATTAAATCAGAGTTCTGCTGCATTTGTTTCCATGTCAATGCCTGTTAGACATGTTATTTGAGCTCAAAGTCGTCATCCTCCAAGCTATTCTGAAATCATCTGCAGAGTTTCATTTAGTATTTGAAGCTGAAAATTTACCTTTAGTAAACCAGAGCTTTCTCTCCTGCAGATGTTTTTATTCAGTCAGTCAGTGCAAGTCCCTCACAGGGTGGCTAAGAGTTTCCTCAGTGCACACTCCTCAGGTCAAATCCACAGGTGTTTATTAATAAATTGGTTTTTGTTTTTAGTCTTGGTGCATGCCAATCTTGACATCCAGGAGCTGTGAGTAGCCCTGAAACATATGCTGAGACACTAAATTTATACAGCCTCCATTTCTCCTATGGATTTCTATTTACAGTCAGGACTTTATTCCTCTTTATTCCCTCCCCTTCTCTACTCCTGTTAACTTCCTCATCTTATCTTAAACGTTTTACCAAGAGGTTTCCAAGTGTGTTGTGGAGACCTCAAACATAGTGGCTGAAAAACACTGGAGCAAGAGAAGATAAAACTAGCTTGAGGACAGGGGGCCTGGCACATTCATCTGTACAAACCCGAGCTTGTGTTTTCCAAGCTTTTAAAGTTAAGTCATTACATTTGCTGACCAGGAGCCTGCAACCCAATGTCTAGTTGAGCTGAGGATATTCACATATTGTCACAGTTTTGTGTATAATTCATAAATAAACTTTTATGACTTGCAATTTTACAGAGCACAGATCTGGAAAATAAACTCCCTAGAGTGTCATGTCAAAAACTGCCTAGTATTTCCACATGTTAATAGTTTTCCCATAATATGCCCTGGGAAGTATACCACTGTCTTAGTCACTTCCGAGCCAAGAGTACCTTGCTCTCTAATGATAGTGGGTTTTAATTTTGTGAACCTGACAATGGTCTGATCCTCAAATCTGTGTGACTGAAGATTTAGGTAAGTGTTACATTGTTAGGATTGAAGCTTCCTTTTATATATGTCTGACTGATGATGTAATACGAGCATTATGTAATAGTTGGTGTGGTGTTGCAGTTGGTTTAACTAATCAAAGCTTCTGCTTTTAACAAAAGGGAGTAACTTCTACCCCCATACACATATTCCTCCTTCTGTGTCTTCTGCTAGTCCTCACATGTGTGCCCATGTAAAAGGAACTAGATCAGGGAACTGATCTGCATGAAAACAGATACTACTTTTGCTAAGTTAGTTTTCTGCATGGCCATTTCTCTACTATTATGATACAATGAGATATCTTGAGGTACAAAATGTACTTTTTTCCTTTTCTGATATAACTTAGTTATTGAAATCAATCCCAAACATCAGCTTCATGTAGAATTATATTTCATTCAGACTCATATGCAGTTCTGTTCCAAACTAACTGTACAGGTATTTCATAGCATATTTTTTAATATTTGAAAAATTGAAAAAAGGGTATATAGCCAAATAGATGGCATGCATGTACTTGAGAATATGTCTGTCCACTGCATAAATATTTCATTATTATAGTGCCAGTTTACTAAAGAACCAGCAGCCTATTATTTAAATTCCAATGCTGTAATTTATTTCAAGTGTCTTATTTAGTCCATAAATATCATGTTTGATCTCTTCGCTAGATATAAAGACTATTTAATATAGGCATTCTCTGAATTTCATACACTTTTGTCAGAACTGAAAGCAGTTAGAGAGAATTGTCATACTTAGGTCATTTGTTGTCTCAATATATGCGTTATGTTTTGATGAGAGTCCTCACCCTTTCTTTTCTTAATCTCTAGTATAATATACAAACAGATCAGTACAGAAGTTGTGATAACGTCTCTGCCAAATCATCAGATAGTGATGTCAGTGATGTGTCAGCCATTTCCCGAACCAGCAGTGCCTCACGCCTCAGCAGCACAAGTTTTATGTCAGAGCAATCTGAACGCCCTCGGGGCAGAATCAGGTGAGTTCTCAGTGCAGCTTCAACTGTATCACACCCCCTCTTTCATTTAGTGACAAAATACAACCAGAAATTACTGAAATTATATCACCACAACATAAGAATTTATGAAAAATGTTATGCACATATAAACTGTATTCCATTGCTAGCGTAAGATGACAATATTTGTGCAGTTGTACATCTAGAACAGAAAGCAATCTTCCCATGATGAGATGACAGATTAATGTATTTGTGGCAAGCAGCGCTTGAACACTCACTATCATCTCATTGCTAGCTATGAATCAGTGTAATCTATATGCCAACAAGTTATTACAACAGAAATATTACTAGATTTTTTATCTAAAGAAATTTCTTTCATGAAAGCTCTGTTTTTCTTTCATTCAATCTATGTATTTATTTCCCCACCTACCTGCTTTTATTTTGCTGTTTTCATGCATATGAGAAATTACTAGACTTGAAACAAATATTGTGTATAGTAATTTTGGTAGCTCTGGTTCAAAGTAGTTTAATTCATTTTGTTATCAATAATTAAATATCTCTTTCATCCTTGATGATAATTTATTCTCAGTTTAGTGCTTTCTTATATACACAAATTGGTTCCTGTCTTCATATAACTTGATGACAAAACTCCCACCACCTTATAATGGCTGTAGGATTATTTTGGTAGTCTATGATTATATCTACCAATGTATGAGCTCTCAAAAATTTGTCTTGAAGTATTATAAGACACAAGAAGAATTAGGAAATATTAAAAAAAAAATATTACTGTGGAGGAAATCAGTGTGATAAAAGTCTGGCTGGCATTATTTAGTACTTCAGAACACTTCTAGACAGATTCACTATCAGAGAAATTCAGCTGTAGGCTTTTTGATCTCTTCATGCAATGGGAAGGGATGTTAGGGAAACTCAGAAACTGTCCTCTATGTATGAAGTAGCTCCATCCCATTTGTTTGTTAAGGAGGGTTCACAAGGGAACTCAAAGTTATCTTTCAGATTGGTGAAATTATAAATTGACATCTGCAATAATCCACAATTCAGTAGAAAACTGCAGTGGAACTGTAAATGTATTTAAAGTTAATCAAGTGTTTAAAGCTATTTCAATTCATGTGTTTAAATGCCACATTTCGTTATGTCCTAGCTTTTCAGTATTTGTGTCCAAGGAACCTGATGTTAACATATATCAAGCAGGATGGGATAGGATGGGGTAGTTGAACAAGTGGGGCAAGGAAAAGAGCATTTTTTGACTTCCTGACTTCTGTCTTACTGAAACCACATATCCACCATCATCTTCATTTAGAAGTGTGTCAGCTCAGTGGCCATGGCAAGTGTGTGAATGTAAAGTTAAGTTTAAAGACAAAATTTGTTGAACTGCCTTTTTATACACCTGCCTTTGTTCTCCATATATCTTCTGGAGATAAGACCTATGAAGAACCTAGTAAGCATATAGAAACTCAGAGGAGGTGGCCCGGTGTTAGCCATCTCACTAAGTCATTTAACTAGTATCCTTAGGTACCTTTGGTAACCAGAAGAAAAATACACAAATTCAGACTACACAAGCAAAATTCCTGGTCTGCATCACCTTTGGAAAGGGTGTCTGTCTCTTTCTCCACTGAGTAGAGAAAAATGAATCCTCAGGCTATTGACCAGCAAACTGAGTTAATTAAATCAAATGGAGAAATGTGACTGGAGAGTACTCCAGGATTCAGATGAGTAACCTCTAGTGAAACTGTCCTCCTTTAACATTTCTACATGAGCTAAAAAACGCTGGTTAGTTGCTCATATTAAGAATTGTGGTATCAAATTTCTGAATGTGAAGTCTGCCAGCCTAAGACAGAAGTAGTTTTGGTTAATGTTGTTAGTCAGTGTAACCCCATCATCCCTCATATTAATCCATCTGTAAAAAGTATATAAATCAAGCTCCTAAACATATAAAAATACAAGATACTGTTGTCGTTAGGGCTTTCATAAGAAAGCAAACTTTTGTTGTAACTTTTAAATTTCAGAGGTTTCAAGTCATAGTGAGTTCTGCCAGCACAGCTTCCTGACCTTTCCTCCCAAATCCTAATGGAGGGAAGATCCTTAAAAAATCTAGGTAATACCTTTTCCCCATCGGTCCAGGCAGATTTGATCTCTCTCTCTTCTCTCTCAGTTTTGAAGATTTGAGATTTTATCATTTCAAACAATATAATTCATTTTATCCTAACTGTATAAATAATTATTTTTTTACTCAAGGAGTAAAGATTTTAAAACCTGGAAGCACATCTATTTTTCTTGTGGCTCTAAAGTCTGTGGGTATTAGCTATAAGTGTAGAACAATTTGTGGGGTTTTCCAGCAATTTTTAATTTTAATGCGTAACTCCAGCTACATTACTCAGACTACACTGTGCGTTTAATAATGTACAGCATTTATAGAATGAAACACTATCTGAACATCAAGGATAAAACCAGTTGGTACATAACAACACAGAAATACTGTGCATCTTATTCGAATAGCTAGATATTGCTCTAGCTATTCTTTGGGTAAAAACTGCCAAATTTAAAGTTTTGCAGTATTAGGAAACTTGAATATGTTGAAGAAATTAGTAACACAGAGAGAATGAAAGCAAATCTTCCCTTTCCTTTGATCAGTGACAAGACTATGTCTAAACCTTTTAAGGCTGAAGGCTAATTTCATTCCTACAGTATATTGTAATTGAATTACCTGTCAGAAAACTGTGACATAGCATGCATGGAAAATACCATTAGTTAATCTTCAGTCTGGAGATTCTGTTGATTAACACTTCTGATAGGTTGCAAGAGGGAGTTGTGATTGATGCAAGTTCTAAATGTAAGTGTATAAAATAGCTTCTTCATTTCTAATTTGTTTAGCATTTTCAGCTGAATGCTATAACAAAAGGCTATGGGTGGATAAACTAGTCTGCATATGAAATTATTCAGAACACCTTTCTTTTTACCATCCTGGAAAATCTGGTTGACTGCCATGCTCTCTACTGGAAGTGCAGGCAAATATCAGGAATTTTTGTTCTGGGAACAAAATGTTCTGGGACTTCTGACTTGACTCAGAATCAGAGTTGTGAATTTGTCTTGCCATGGCATTTGGAGTGGGTGTGTATTTCATGACTGAAGTCAGATTAGCAGTGTTTTTTATGGAGGTTTGCTTTCAGCAGTCATGGTCTTTATGCATTAATAATACAGTCAAGCAATACTTTGTGCCTGTGTGTGCTACAGATGTTACTGTGTATGACTCAGGAACATTTCTCACATCCTAAATGAAGTAAAAGGAAATTTTTCACAGTTTAATGCAAATGATTGGTAAAAATCCATGTGAAATACATGATGATTAATCAGCACCATATGGGCTTGATCAGACAAAGGACATCTGCTCACTTCCTTAAAAATTATGCCAAATGATATCATTGCATCATTTTTCATTGGGGGCCTGCTTATGCAAAGATACCTGGACTTCTTGGTGATGTAAAGTAGGGAACTGTCATGCATGGCAAAGGCGAGCTGAAGGATTCTGTTTTGGAGGATTTAGCAAGTTGGCTATCATAAGGTGTTTCACTTAAATCTGATTGAACAAAATCTACTAAATACATGAAAGACTAAATAACTACTTTTAAGGTGAATTTCTCTGTGTATCTGGATTTCAAACAAATTTCCCCTGCATTAGGAATATCACTGTTATTCCTCATTTTAAATTTGAAAACACATCTTTATTACTAATTATATTTAGCATCTTAATAAATATGGGATATAATTATGTATGTGGCATATTTTAATCTTGTTTTACATGCTTTGCTTAAATTTAATTAAAATATTTTAAATTAGCTTATCAAATATAAAAGATAATACAATGGGTTGTAACAGTGGACTTAAACCAGTCCTGATTTATTTCACATATTATACCATGCCACTGAATGGTTCGCATCACAAACTCATATATGCTTCTTGGGATTCAGGTATGTCCTCAGTGTATTACTGAAGGAAAATAACTTTTTTTGGTTAATACTGTCGGACTGTCTCTGACAAACCTTTTCATCCCCAATTTCTAGAACAGCATATATAACTTGCATGTAGATGTTATTCTTTGAGTACAATAGAACTTTAGCGCTAGTGCACTTGGACTTTGGAACAGGAAAGATGGAGGAGGGAAATGGTGACACGTGATCAGTCCAGTGAAGAAGTAGTTGATGAGTTGGTAAGCAAAGGGTGCAGGATGGTGGAGACAAGCAGGACCTCATAATCAACAAAACAGGGCAGGAAGGATCCTATCCCAAGTGTATGCACATGAATAATGACGTGTTTGAGAGGAGAGCGTTGTGGGGAAGCTCTCATACCTTTTCTGGAAGATCAGCACAAGCAGGTGGCTCTCTGAATGGCCTGTGCATGGGGAATGAACAAGAGGAATTAGAAGTATCTTGTGCAGCTGCAGGGCTGTGATCTCATCATGATCACAGAGACACAGTGGGATAGCTCACATGACTGGAGTGCTGCAATCCATGGAAGCGCAGGGCAGAACAGCAAGGAAGGGGTGTTTCCTTTTATGTGAGAGAGTATGCAGAGAGGCCTAGAGATGGGTGATGAACCAGCTGAGAGTTTATGGGTCACGATTAGAGGGCCAGCCAATGTCATGAGATTGTGGGTGTCTGCTATGGACTTCCTGCTCAGAAAGAAATAGATGAAACCTTCTTCCAACAACTGGAAGATTCACATTCACAGGCTCTGGTTTTCATGGGGAACTTAAATCATCCTGATTGCTGCTGGTTGAGCAATGCAGAAGGGCACAACAATCCAGGAGTTTTCTACAGCGCACTGATGACCAGATGGAAAGTCTGGAGCAAGGACTCAGCAGAGGATAATCAGATCAGAGAACGTTTAAATAAACTGGACATGTAAAAATCGTTGGCATTTGACAAGATGTACAGCTGAGTACTAAATTCATTGGTGCTGACTGATGTCATTGCAAGGCCACTCAATAATCTTTGGAACAGCATGGCAAC